TGATTATAAAGCACAGAGAGGTTCTCACCCCTCCTTTAGTGCCATTTGTCCCCAGGAACTAAGATGTAAATGAGTTGTATAGCTAGGATATCCTATTGTGTAAAAATATCAAATAGCATCTCCTTGATTTCTCTGGTATTTATTGACTTCTTGCTGAGATAAACTAAGCTTCTGTTGCTCTGCCCACTTTCAGTTGTACATTTTGGAAACAATTCCAGTAAATTTCTCTTTCTTGAAGGCTTTAATGTCTCACTGTATGTAACTATCACTTTGTTATGATCATTCACTGTAACAGGTTTATTATTTTTCACTCTGTCACATTTTGTATGCATGCAGTTTTCAGTTTATCAGTATGCTTTTAGAACATCATCTGGCTGATGAGTTAAATCAATAACATATGGGCAAAGTAAAATGATCATAAGCTGTAATTACTATATACAGCAAATCTGTCAACTAAAGGCTTCTGAGAAATGAGGTAGGCTAGAGGATAGCTGTAGTTTCAATACTGTATAATCCCTTTGCAATAATACAATCATGCAAAATGAGATTAAAGTGATTATCTGCATGTGAAAATTGCATCAGTTTCTATTCATATTGCTTTTCAGCTAGTGTGGATAATATTTGTCCTCTGGTGGCCTCAATTCAAAAGTGGCATAACAAGCCTCAGCATCCATTTTTCGTGCTTCCCGGAAAGAACTGGTGCATTAAAGGTATTTTGGTCCTTTCAGGTTGAGTTCAGACATCTCCTTAGACAGCTGTTCTGCCAAGGCTAAGCTGCTGCAGGTCAGTCTTCCTCCATCCTACTAGGAGCTAATCAGTTAATACAATTTTCATGCAATCCTATCAACATGGGTGACCCTGCCTGGTGCCAGATACCAAACTGTAAGTTGCTGCAGTCCAGCACAAGCAGTATGGACAACCTACTGCAGGTTTAGGGTGGGATATGATCACCTAACAAAAGGAAGTATGTGTACCACCGGAAGACAAACCCACACCAGCTTTAGAACAAGTATAATTAGGAGTAAGAGCAGAATAAGAGAGGCCAGGAGCCAAAACATTTGCTCAGCATTTTTCAGGGGCATGTAATTCCAGCTAGTAGCCTGTATAAGAAGGTGCTGGTCTCCGCTTGTGTGCATGAATGAGCTGTGCTGTTCCCAAGGCACATCTCCTGTGTTGGGAACATGTGATTCAGGTTTAATTAGTTCCAGCGCATATGGGACGGCTTGTTTCATTACAACATATAACTGAAGATTTATATTCTAGCAGAGACAGGGAGGGATGTAGCTTGTGGAGTGCTCTGACTCTTTTCTGATGAAACCATTCTAGATTTCCTTCCCTGCAGCATAGCCAGAAAAGGCATTGTGTCAGCCGCGGTCTAAAATACTTGGGATATTATACCTGAAAAGTGTAGGGGCCAAGGTGAGGTAATACAGATGAAAACCCTTTATCTGGGTACCAATATTATGATATGAGGAAGAAGTATTTTATATATTTTAAGTATACTTATATAATTTTAAGTAAATTATATTTTTTTATATTTCAGTATTTTATATTTTTTACTACTTGAAGTTAAATATGTGAACTCAAGAGAAGAGGTTATTACAGTAAGCCAGTCATGAGGAAACAGTATTTACTTCTTAATCTATTTTCTTATATAACAATCTGTAGTGTTTCTGACAAGTTTAATAGTGAATGTAAACTGTGAAGCCACTGGTGGCAATATCACAACACCCTGTTTTTAACAGTTGGGGCCTGAATACAGATATTTATTATTGCATTAAGTCATATGGGTGGTAACATTGCTAACAACCACTGAGTACCAAAAAGCAGCATTTATTGGTCCTGACATTCATAAAATGATCCAGCTCTGCCTGATGTTTTGTAGTATGTGACTAGTCAGCAGGAGAAGTTGTACATAATGACAGTGGGAAGGCAACATTAATTGCAAGCCAGCTGTCAGAAGAGTACTCTGATGTGGTGTACATACTACACAAGGAGAAAACTCAGATCTGCCTCTCCATCTGGCGAATATAAAATGATTTAGTCTCAGGTATTGAAAAGTCTATGCTATCTTGGAAATGGGAAGAAAATGACTAGCCAGGTACGGTCTCCTACTGCGTGTTCTCAACTGTATGTTCATTGTCTACTTCTTCTGCTGTAAAGAAACTATTCTGGGCAATGCTGGAAGGAGATTTGACAAAGGGAATGAATTAAACATTTTTTTAAAGAACTTTCTATTGTGAATAACTCTGGCTTTGTGAATCTTTTTTTTTTTCTTTTCTTTTTTTCTTTTTTTTTCACTCTATGCTATGCTTCATAAATCAGAGTTACTCCCTGATTGCATTTATCAGCAGCAAGGACTGGACTAACATGAGAAGGAAGAACATAGCTGGAGACCACTAAAATGGTCCAAGACATGTTCCCCAGGAAGGCTGTGGGATATCACTGAAGGGAGGTGGATGGCAGCTTGGGTGTGTATGACTGCATGTCCAGAGCTGGGCATATTAAAACTACAGCTTTGAAAATCTGTGCTCTGGGTTTTTCAATGTCCAGACTTTTAAGAATATCATGCAAGCTAAAAAAACAGATTTCTGAAAATGAGGAATTTTTGAGCAAGAATCACACTGTGTAGACAACTCCAGACAGCACATAAGCATCTAGCACAAAGACACTGAGAAATGCTTCTGGGTAAGAGAAATGTACTGGTCAGTAGAAACAAGGAAAAGTAACTGGTTCAGACAGATATAAACAGTAGAAGAAATGTCCAGTTTGTGTATAACTTTTTTAATACTGCGCATGCATATATTTTAACTTTTTATTGTTTATTGTGCTTTAACCTGCTTCAGTTTTTATATCTTGATTGTTTGATAATTAGGAAATAAGATTGATTTTCCTTGCTGAAGGACAAGAAGCTGTAGAGACTACCTCAAAATAGAATGTGAAAGGATATAAATCGTGTTGGGAAAGGTTGCTGAAAAATGCATTATTCCATTTCCATTAAGGTTTCCTGAGGACATGAATGATTCAATGGGGAAAGTTTTGAGTTCTTCCTACCAGGCCAAAGGATATCTCCACTTTCTTCACCTCCTGGAATCTCAAGGACCCAGACCCCCATAGTTTTCTCCATGATAAAATTACTGGGAAGAAGAAAAAGGAAAAAAAAAAAAAAAAAAAAAAAAACACCAAAAAAAAAAACAAACAAACAAAAAAAAAAAAAAACACAAGTTAGATGTGGAGGTGCTCCCATCTGAGTAGTTCACAAGCCATCCTCTGCTTAAGTGAATGGCTACATTGGCACCTTGTGGGAACTTCCCGAACCCCAGAGTCCCCGGGGAGAGCAGGGGAAGGGGCTGCACGGGGAAAGACCGGAGCTCTTCTGGGCTCCCTCCCAAGTCGGAGGCGGGGGCTGGGTTTGGGCACCCTGCCCTGCTCCTCGCCAGGACTGTGATGTCGTCCTGGAGACGGCCAGATTCCAAATACACCCCAAAATCACCCAAATCCTCCTTTTTCCCAGGACCCAGGTCCTGCTCGATCGGTGATCTCTGTGTGGTAGAAAGCCACGACTTGACTTTTCTGGGTGGAAAAGGGTTGTTACCTGCCGGTGACAAATCTGTTTCTTTGGCTTCCTCGGGCAACGAGAAAATAGCGAGAAGGCAATTTCCCTGTCCGATAGTAGCTCTCTCTGGCTCCGCTCAGAATAAAGGAGCATCTTCAATTTCTGCTTATTTTTAATAATCCAAATAATTAACACAAAACAAATCATTTACCTTTGCAGAAGGGAACTCGATCCCTTTAACAGCCCACGAGAGAGGAGTTAGTTATTAGTGGCAGTTAAGTGTGTGCTGCCTTCCCTGCCTCTGAGGATCCTTCCCCCTTCGAGAGAGGATTTAGGGGTGGGGAGGTACCCCCTTCGAAGTCCAGCGGGGGCTGCCAGGTGCTCAGGGGAGCCTCAAGGTTGGTGGCTCCAAAATGAGAGAAGAAAAAACATTTTTCCCCAGACAATTGAGAAAATAAATAAATAAATAAATAAATAAAAAGGTAGCGCTAAAATATTGAAAAGATAGAGGAAGGAAAGGAAAGCCTTCTCTCCCGTTCGGGGGGAATTAGTGTAATTCGGGCAACACAGGAAGCAAGTGGGAAAAAAAAAAAAAAAAAAAAAAAAAAGTAAAAACATTTCTTAACCGATTTTAGAATGATTTCTCTGCTTTGCAGTGACATCTCGGTACTTTATTATTTTTTGTTTTGATTTGATTTGATTTTGTTTTGTTTTGTTCGTTTTGGGTGTTGTTTTGGTGTTTGTTTGTTTGTTTGTTTGTTGCTGCTGGTGGTGGTTTTCTTTCCGGTTTGGCAAGCAGGAATAAACTAAGGGAAGAGACAGAAAGAAACCTTTCCTATCCGCTCTGTTAACTGATAGAGAAGATACTTATTTGTGAATCTAGTAATTTGCTTTCTTTCCGAAGTCGGCAAAGGCACCTTGCCGCAGCCTCGCACCCGGCCACACACAGCACTTTGGGTCCACGCAGTGCTGTGCTGCCCTCGCGGCAGCTTTGCACACACTTCGGGTGTACACATCTGAGTTACAGGTATTAAATAAATGTTAGCAATTATAATTGTTAGCAATTATAATAATAATAAATAAAATGCATTAATAATTAATATTTTAGTATTTTTCAATACTACCATTATTGTATCAATATTAACACTTCATACTAATTTAATACTTAATGACAATGTTTAAGTTGCACGAACCTCTCAGGAAAGCTCGTTAGGGGATATTGGGTCTTTAACTGGAGAGTCTTAATTGTTATATCTCCATTGGTCAGAGAGGAATGCAGTGGTTTCTACCCTCGTGGGACACTCAGTGCTCTGTGTCCCAACCAAGGGGATAAAGCAGCAAGTTCAGGAGGAGAAATCCGGGTGGGGAACGGGCTCACGGGGTCTCCGGGACGGCGTGAGACAGTCCAGTGTCCTATCATTCAGTCAACTCTTGGGCTGGAAAAATAAAATATGTGGAGAGTTGGCCGTGGCAACACTTGTTCCGGCCAGTTTGCCACAGAACTCGCATAGATGTGATTCTGCAGGGAAACAGCGAAAGAAAAATGCAAGGAATTTCCTTGCCTTTTGGAAAAACGAGTTAAAAAGTCTCCGGCATTGAAGAAGGACGTTAAAAGCAGTGATTATTAAAACCTTTAGCCTGCTCTGCGACAATGGAGATGTGTGTTCCTGTACCACCACTGACTAATTCAGTGACCGGATTTCTTTAGCTGAGTAAGATGCGTAGATAGGAAGAGTCAACTAATGTTATTATTTACTTATTTTTAATTAACTGCCACTGCGGTAAACTTTCCAGAGTGATGTCTTCAATCCTAAAGCAACTACCACCTTAATCAACAGGAACTGCTTCCTCTGCCGTTCTGACCTGAGCTTCTGATCCAGCTTCCCTCGTTGTGCGCTGAAACCTGTGGGGCTTTGAACTGAGTTCAGACGGCCAGAGTTGCCTGAGAAATCTCCGCTGGTGCCAACAGCTAGCAGGACTAGGGACAGGAGCTCCCGTCATCTCTCCCAAGACAGAAAAGATGGGAAGAAAAGCGATTTCAAACATCGGTATCAGGTAATGATATCTCCTTGCGTTTTACCCTTTGGAAAAGGATAGAATTGCGTTTCTGCAAAGCGTAATATAAAGTATCCGACCCTATGCGGCTTGTAAACCAATAATCCCTCCATTGTATTCAAGCATGGAACTTAACGTAGCCTGGCACTAGTTGTAAAGAAACAAATCACTAACCCATCGGCTGATACTTGGCGTCGTATTTTCCACCATTCTGGTAAGTATCATTTGGGTGCTTAATTGACTCATAGCAGCGCATTGATTCTCCAAACTGGTTGGACATCAGCTGAATAGTCCTAGCAGCCGGGACGTGTCACAGCGTTTAAGCGGCAGCATCTGAAGCCTTGTCCGAGTGAACTTGTCGCTGAAAATGCCAGGAGGTGGATTTGGATTTCGGCTTTCATTTAGGGTTAAAGCTGTTTAGGTCCCGGACCCTCAGCGCCCCCGGAGCCCGGCTGCAGCCCGGGGCAGGAGGCGGCTTTGGCCCTTCCCCCGCTGCCTCCTCCCGCCTGCTCCCCGCTGAAGGCAGCGGCCGGGCTGGGCCGCCCGGCCGGTAAGGACGGGGGCGGAGCGGGGGGAGAGGGCGACCTTTGAAACCTCCCCGCTCCCTCCGGCACCCGGGCGTCCCGCGGGCAGAGCCGGGGCAGGGGCAGGCCCGGGGCCCGCGGAGAGGAGAGAGACGCGAGGGACGAGCGGGCGAAGCGGTGGGAGGAGGAGCCCGGGGTGAAGCGCGGCCGCCGCCGGGGTTGATCGGGCGGGGAGGCTTCGCTGCCCGCCCCGTCCGGTTTAACCGCGGGGCTCTCCTCCTCCCCCAGCAAGGGGGGCGAGAGAGGCGAGGGAAATCAGAGCAACATCGGGGAAGGGGAGCTCTGCAGACCCAGCCCGTCCTCAAAGTGTATACAGCGATGTGCGTCTCACGTTGTAGTCTTGGTCCTTCCCTATCGCTATTCCCACTTCACACCTGATCTCAAACTATACGCAAGAGCTGAGGTGGAGACAGGGGAGGAGACCCTGCTCTCAATCCTTAATCTGCTGAATAAGTAAAAATACACTGAAACCCACTGGCACTGGGGATGTCGCTCCGTGTTGCCTGCAAGGCTGCAGCCCGGGATGCAGTGGAGCCAGTCCAGTCATGATGACTGGGGTCTTTTCATGCTACAGTCATCTATTCTCATTGGGAATCACCTTATGCCACAATGCATGTGTCTGAATCTCCAACCTAGACTTCGCAGGGTGGGTAGGGAAGGTAGGAGAGACCTCCCCAGATCTGGCCTGGCAGTGGCAATGACAGCAGTGAAGGCAGTGCAAGAACCTGCTTCCCTGTGACTGCAGTAATATCTACTAATGAAAGTAGATATATACTAAGACAAATGTCTCCCAAAAAACTTGTTGTGGTTTTTGCTCTAGCCAGGGGACACTGAGTTCACCCCTGTGCTTATAGGTAACTCTCCTTAGGCACTATCGATCCACCACCTAACTCAGGAAGGCAGAGTAAGCCTGAGTCAATCACCTGGCCACTTTTTGGATATATACAAATCTCTCCTAGCAGTGCAGGTAAAAAGCATACACAGTTCAGCCAAAATATATATATATATATATATATATATATATATATATATATATATTGTCCCAGATTTCCACTGACTATGAAGTGCCACAACCTGTACACTGGTTCATACCCCCGATATTTTTTCTGCTCTGAAGTCCATAGCCCCAAAGGCCTGGATAGTTTTGCCATGAATAGCAGGAAGCGTAATTCCCATTGCTATGGGCACTACAGGGTCTGAGGACCTCAGTCACCATCCTGCTTCCATCACCACCTCTGTGTCCAGCCTGAGGCTGAAGCAGCCATCACCTATCTTGCTTGATTTATGAACCATCCTACTGAACTCAGTAAGACTTTCCTGAATATAGGACGTGAATCATACCTGGCACATGAGTTAGAGCCTGGCCATTGGTGGAGATCACCATGTTGGTGGCTTGATCCAAAAAACAAAGGTCCCATGTTTAGCTTTCTGCCCTAGAAAGAAATCTCTGAATTATCAGAGAAGCTAGAATTGAAAGTGATCAATTGCAATGGAGCCTGGATAGAGAGGAGACACGGTCCCACCTGGGAATCAGAGGCATAAAGAGCTTCAACAGCTGCAGTAAATTTGGGCAGATCTCTGCAGTCAGAGCTCTACTGCAGCCCCACAGCCCTCCTCATCAACAAACTTGCCTATAGGGAAGGGGATTACTCTGGTTCCCGCCTCCAGGCTGCCCTGGTAGCAGCATGTCTGGTGTTGGAGAGCTGCTCCTGACGTGTCTGGATAACCACCTAGGTTCACCTTCCTCAGAGGGATCCCAGTCTTGGGCACATTTTTTAGAACAAGTCTCAAACTACTCCTGATTCCACCCAAAATTTGCCTTATTGTGAGCCCTTCCATACATGTGCCCCTTTGCAGGCTGCCTGCAGAACCCACACCCTGCTGCAGGCTCCCATCAGCAGTAGAGAGCAGCAGGGAAGTGCAAAGGAATATGACAGTTCGCAATGAATTGAACATCAGAAGCAGGGCTTAAACACCATGCACAAAATAATTCTCCTTTTATCCCACAGCTGAAATAAATTGCTTTAGCTGAGCAGAGACTTGAGGAACACCAAGTTAGTCCCTGGGGTGAGGCCCCACATGAGCAGGGCTGTGGTGCGTGCAGTGGTGGGTGCACATTGCTGGGCTCGGTGCCAAGCAGGGACACATGCTCAGGCTAAAGAGTTGCTCCATCTGGGTGGGACACTCAACAGGATGCACAGCCACAGTGCATGCTGCACGTACATGTACATGTACACACACATAGGGGTATGTGAAGGGGTTTGCAGAGATGCACATTTTGCCATATTTAAAGGAAGTGCACTTGAAGAGCTGGATTGTATATAGAGCTGACACAAGCAGGGACACGCGGGAATGTTTATGAGGCTGTTTCCAGGTCGAGGATATTCAGACATCTCTATTTGCAGCAGCAGATGCACATTCATATTTTGTATCTCTGCTCCAGGGCAGGAGCATTTGCCTCATAAGCTGTGCCCAGGACACATCCCCTCCACTTTCCTCGGGCTTCTGCCCTGCAGGAAAAGTCATCGTGGACTCCATCTATGCTTCTTCCTCTCATAGTGGGAGGAGGAGTTCAGAGTTGGTCCCCTCTGAGGTTTCAGCCTCCCTGCCTGAGGAGGTTGGTGTGGGAGAGGCCAGGGCTGCAGGACAGGATGCAGGAGATGGGCAGGGGGAAGTTGGAAGGGAAATTTTCTGAGGGAACGTCAGGGTTTGGGGCACTGACAGCTGCAGTTTTCAGGGAACCACCCAGGATTTCATTTTCATATTTTGGCAAAAGGGAGGTATAGACCCAAACTGGAGATTTCAGGTTTGACAGTCCAAGAGCAAGACACAAGTGGTGCACAGCAGCACTCAGCCTTCCAGGTTTCTCAAAGGGAAAATAAAAGGCATGGAAGAAGCCTCCAGTCAAGGCTGGGGAGGGGAGAAGAGACCTGGAGAGTTCAGGGATGGAGAGAACCGGATTAAACAAAACGCCACGAGTTTGAAGTCACCTCATATTTCACCCCAAAAAAGGGGATGTGTGCAAAAATGTGCTGCAGTGATTGTGGTGCCGGGGGCTCGGCCAGGGCTTCAGCGTGGAGTGGCAGCAATATACAGGGATAAAAGAAGCAAAGAGGAGTCAGGCCATGCTCTCTGTTCCCATGCCAGCTGATTTGTTCAAAGGATCCAAGATAAATGTGCTATAAAGTGCAGATTCTGGCCCTCCAGTCACCGGGGAGAGAAATATTCGCACCTACCACCCCTGGGCTTCCGGGGATGCCTGTGGGGTGGGAAAGGAGGGGCCGGCAGTGAAGGGAGGAAAAAAAAAAAAAAAAAAAAAAAAAAAAGATCAAAATGTTTGCCTTTATTTAATTTTTCTTCCCAGAAATATTGCCAAAATCAAAAACCAAAGAGCTGGGCTCCCTTCCAGACCCAGAATTCAATTTTCCAACAATTGATTATTTCCAAACGTTAAGTCTTTAAGTAGTTCCAATTTTTCCCTTTCAAACTGCTTGGGGGTTTGGGTTGGTTTTGATTTTTTTCCCTCGTATTTTGTAACAACGACTTCAAATTCAATTGCTTAAAAAATTCACAGACAGTAAAGAGTTATTTCAAAGCTTTTTCGGATTCCAGATGACATAAATATTAAATGGATCCTATCGAGAAAATAATAGCAGAATAGTTGCAAACTAATAAGAGTTTTTAATAATTTTAAGCACGATTGTCGAGAGCAGAGAGGAACTGGTAACATAAATCACTCTTTTCTTTTAAAATAATAACGTTCCTTTTGCTTTATTGTGACTTAAAATATTACACTGAATTTTCTGCGTAAAATCGTCGAAGAACGGAAATGTTAGTATCAGTTTGGAAGCCACACTCAACTATTTCCACGGCAAAGTGGGCTCAAAATTTTCGCAGCATGTTATAAAGAAGAATAGCTGGCGGGAATCGAGATCTCAGAAGCACGCGGTATGACATAAATTCGAAAATCGGTAATGCCGCTAAATAAATTAGCTCAAATGCAAATTCTCGGGGAACCAGGTGGAAAGTCAAAGTCCGACGCTGCTCCTGCGGCCGCCGCACCCGCGGAAGGCAGAGGCGAGGCTGCTTCTGCTGGAGCAGCGCGGCAGGGTCCGCCAGCTGCCAACTGCCACGCACCGGCCCGCTCGAGGGTTTCTGTGAAACGGAGTGAAATCACATTTCCGAAAATCAGCGTTTCCTTTCCCTCTGTTAATGAGTGTGTCTGTGCGCGTCGGGCTGCCTGGGTGCTTCTGCTGGTGGATCCTACTCCTTTCTTTCCGCGCTTTGAATAATCAATAAATAAAAAGAAATAAAATGACGCAAACTAGCAGGAAAAGCTGCAGCCAGTCGCTTTGTCCGCGGATCCCCTTCAGTCCGGGCCACCTCGGAGGTTCCTCCCGCAAAGCCGGCGCGGGTCCGTCCCTCGCAGCCGCCGGGACCCACGAAGCAGCCCCGACGGCGGCCGCAGCTCCCGCCGCAGAGAAGCCCCCGAAGTAAACAGGCCCTTAACTTTCAACTTGGCCTTGACCTCCGGATTAAACCCGACCTTTCTGTGAAGGAGCACCGCGAGACGCGGGGGAGCTGCGGCTCCGTCGACAAATACTTAGCCGACCGTCGCGGCCGCCTTCTCCCAGCGCCCGAGTTGTGAGCGCTGGTTCAAAGCAAACGGTGAGAGGGCAGGGGCAGAGCATAAAAAGAGCGTCAAAGAAGGAGTACAGTCGTTAAACTACAGAAAGGGAAGAAAGGAGCTTTGAAATCGGAAAGGTGAAGGCTAAAAAGACAGGAGGGTTTTTTTTTTATTTTCTTTCCTCTTTTTTTTTTTTTTTTTCTTTTTTTTTTTTTCTTCTGGAAAAGAAAATCATCGGATTCAGCAAGACTCCGAGATTTTTAACAGAGAGCAAGAAGAGCCGAGCGAGGAGCCGAGGCTGGGGGCGCAGCTTTGCGCTGTGGTTCAGCTGTTTTCCTGCGAAACGCGGCGGGCAAGGACGCGGTGCGGGAGCGGATCTCGAAGAAACAGACCGGGACAACCCCTCTCGCAGATCTCCAGAGCTGAAAGGAGAGGTATGGGAGAAGGGAGGCAGCCTGCCGCAGCGAACGGGGCTTTTCCGCGTCGGGTTGGAAGTGATCGAGCCAGTCCTACCCTTCGGCTCGGCGAGAGCTGCCCCCGGGGCCGCAGCCCGGCCCCGGCAGGCTGAGGGCCCCTCACCCAGCGCCCCCAGACACATACACAGGTAGGAAGCCACAAGCCAGGGGCTTGTCAAGCCGGTGTTTTTCCATCGTGTCCATTTGGGCACCACCAAGTAGCTCCGGAACAGACACGGCGCAAGATTTACTTCCCACAAGCCTGGGGAGGTCCCCCCGGGAAGGCATTTTGGGCCCAGTAATGCTCCTATATGCCTGGCCCAGCATCACAATCCCTATTTCCTCACTTTTTTTCTGTCTCTGCTTGTGTAAGGCTGATGCAGCTCCTCCGGGAAGAAGGATCATGATTTGGTGGCCTAAAGACATGGCAGAAGGAGCAGATTTTCTATTATTTGTTAATAAGCAAGGAGAAAATATCGATTTCTTGAGCTGATCTCTTTGCAAGAAGGAAATAATCCGGAAACACTGCATGAACTCAACTGTTATTTGAGTAACTGTGGAGAAAAACAGAAACAGGAGGGAGAAATGAGGCTGTGTGTGTTTGTACTGTGTATACAGGTGATGAAAAATGCATGTACCCAAAGATTTATTAATAGGCACTTATGCACAGGCCTCATCGTATTTACTCCAAACTTTTCCATGCTGATGTAATCCCTCACCTCTACATCCATCTGTCTTTACCCCTTCTTCCTGTCTCTCCACCTGCCTGTTACTCTGGGGCCCAAAGGGGTCTCTATATTATTTTTCCACCCTCTTTTCAAAACTCTTTCCCTTTGAGCTACTTAGCTGGGATCCACACTGACCTGCAGACTGGGCCCAGTTCCATGCCAGCACTGTGCGAAGAGGCAATAGCTGTGTGTAAAGAGTTTTGTTTTGTTTTGTTTTGTTTTCACTCTTTGCAGTTATTTTTATTTCTTCTTCTGTTTTTTTTTTTCTGTCTGCATGGGAAAGATTGGGGTGCATATGTGTGACAATGGGACACAATCCCTGAGCATGAGTGGAGAGCAAGGCAGGGGCAGAAGGGAAGCCTTGTTCCACGACAGTGCTGGTTCTCCACAGCCTCACGAAGAGCAAAGCTGAGGGCCCAAAGGGGTCCTCAGGTATCTCCAAGTCAGGCTGGAGTTTTTGCAAGGGCAGAAACTCTCGGACCTGTGTGGGAAGAAGGGTACACCTCGCTGATAGATGGCTTTAATCTAAGCCTGTATTTTTTTACCAGGACTACTCCCCCTCACTGGTTTTGATCCTCCCACTCCCCCCCCCCCTTAATTCCTCCCTCTACTTTTTTGGGGGGGGAGGGGGGGGCACGATGCAAGAGGCACCTCCTGTGTACCCACCTGTCACGTGTTTGGGGGTTCCTCCCGCCTCCTTCTATTGCAATAAAAGTATTTTCGCTATTTCTGCAGCCAGGGTTTATTAGGACTGGAGGGATTGGGGGGGGGAGGTGTTTTGTTTTTTTTCCTTCCTTCTCCGTCCTTTTCCCCCCGAGCAGCAGCCAATGAGGCAGGCCCTGGCCATTGCGTCAGGACAGCCCGGCGGGGAAGGGCAGCTCTCGGCAGCTCACAGCCTTTTAAAAAGATCCGGGGACCCCCCTCGGACAGCGCCCGGGTGCTGTCGAGCAGCTTCTCCCCATGCCCCGGCCCCCGCGCCGCCCCGCATGCAGCCTCCGGAGCCCCGCGCCCCCTCGGGCCTCGAGGGGCTCCTGGCAGCCGGGGGCTTCGCAGGCGGCCAAGGCAGGGGCCTGCCCCCCGCCCCGGCTCTCGGCGGCCCTTCGCCTCCCCCCGGGATGAACCCCAGCTACCCGGCGGAGGAGCCGGCCAAGCCGTGCCTGGCCGCCCCGCCGGGCCCCACAGCCCCGCCGGGCCCCGCCGCCTCCGCCCCTTTGCCCTACGGATACTTCGGCAGCGGCTACTATTCCTGCCGCGTCGCCCGCAGCGCCCTCAAAACTGGCCCGGCCCAGGGCCCCTTCCCCCCCGAGAAGTACCTGGACCCCCCCGCGGGCAGCGAGGACTTCCAGAGCCGTCCCGCGGAGTTCGCCTTCTACCCCAGCTACGGGGCCCCCTACCAGCCTGTCGCCGGGTACCTGGACGTGTCGGTGGTGCCAGGGCTGGGCGGCCCCGGGGAGGCACGGCATGAGACGCTGCTGCCCGTGGACGGTTACCACCAGCCTTGGGCTCTGGGCGGCAGCTGGAGCGGCCAGATGTGCTGCCCCAAAGAGCAGGGCCAGGCCGGGTACCTCCTGAAATCTGCCTTTGCAGGTAAAGTCCCTGGGCTGGAGCTGCGGAAGGGCTGGGAGCGGGGAGGTGTGGGGTGCTCGCCGTGCGTGCGGGTAGCTAGGATCACAGCTTCAGATAACCTCCTGGGGAGCTGCTGCTGCAGCTCCAGTAAAGCTTGTTCGTGAGCGATTCCACTCTAGTCGGTAGGTAGGCTTCAAAACCAGCAATTTAGATTGCTGCTCTTTGCAACTCATCGCCCTCTGAGAACAGAGGCAATCGGTGATACCGTCCTGGTTCAGGAACGATCCGGGTAGCTGGGGGCCAGCCACAGTCCGCAAGCAACGGAACGGAGCTGGTTTAAAGGCTGGGTGTACGCGGTTCTGAGAATAGGAGGGCCATGCCCATGTCCCCCATCCGCTGCCCATGCCACGGCGGTGGGAGTGAACTTGCCCCGGTCCTGCTCGGCCGTTCACCGGCCCCGCGTTACGCGCTGAACCCGCGGAGCGAGCACGCGTTGAATCAGTGCACGTCACATCAGCTCTCTCACGTCGGTTGCTGTTACATGAAGTCGTGTCCCCTTCCCCCTCCCCCCAAAAAATAGTCAGATATGAATACATTTAGCGAAGAAAAAAAGCTGACTTCCATTAGGAAATAAATTGTCAGGAGATAGGGAGGCTCGAGGGAAGAAATGGGGAGGCAGGGAAAAGGTGCAGCTGCTGTGAGGAAAAGCCGGTGGGAGAAGGGTGCCAGGGGCGAAGGGGTGGGGATGCCCGCCCACCCAACCCCCGGTCCTGGCATCGCTCAGACCCGTCTCTCCCTGCGCCCAGACGCCACTACGCAGCTGCCCTCCGACGGCTGCTCCTTCCGCCGGGGACGCAAGAAGAGGGTCCCGTACAGCAAGGGGCAGCTGAAGGAGCTGGAGAAGGAGTACGCCAGCAGCAAATTCATCACTCGTGACAAAAGGAGGAAGATCGCCGCCGCCACCAACCTCACGGAGAGACAGATTACCATCTGGTTCCAGAACAGGCGGGTGAAAGAGAAGAAAGTCGTCGCCAAAATCAAAAGCAGCAGCACTCCGTGAGGACACAGCCACCCCGCACAGCAGCCCCGAAGAGTCCCCGTCTGCAAGGGGACTCCGGCTCCTTCAGCGGCGAGAGCGAGCGGCGCCCGGGGCGGGCCGCACCATCCCCGCCGCCCGGTGCAGCTCGGGGCGTTGGGCACCGCTCGGCTCTGTTCCCGAGGAGTTAAACCCAGCCTCCAATGAGGGCAACTTAAGAAGATACAACGTTCCTGCCCGGTCTGCATGCAGAGGGCCCATTCGCCTTACAACGTCGCTATAGATATCGTGCTCTCCATGTCCCACCGCTTTTGTTTGAACTGCATCGTCTGGGCGTTCAAAAAAAAAACAAAACAAAATAAAAATTAATTGCTTTAATTAACCCCAAACACGCAAACTCTCGCCTCCGTGCAGGAGCGGGCTGTCCGGGGGCGAAGGGGTGGGGGATTTCACAAGGAATTTGGTCTTTAGAGAAGAAAAGCTGTACTTAGAGCATAAAAATAAAATTTCCTTAACTACAGGCAGAAGTATCAAAATGTGTGTGTATACTCCAGGTGTGTGTGTATACTCCAGGTGTGTTACATAGAAACACACGTGATTTTTTTTTATTGGTATAAACGTGCGGTTTTGCGTGAATGCACAGTACATGTGTACAACATGTACACATACATACATACATTTATGAAGGCACGTAATACGTTTTGTGCTGTTATATATAAAATATACATATAGGTATGCACATATTTAGGATTATGCTTTATTTTACCTTTTATCGTATATGATATTGGTGTTCGTGTGTTTATATATACCCAGATACCCAAACGTATGCACGTATATACATGCAATATAGTAACCAGCTATGTGGATATATCTATATATATATACACACGTGTTTGTATACGCACCTATATACATACAGTTACATGTATGTTCGTGAATATATTTTGATACAGGTAAATGCAATTCGTATAATTTCATACATGATTTCGTTTGTGCATATATACATATATTTGTATCCACATTTTCCTTCTCTTAATAATGCAGAATTATAGCGATACGTTTCATAGCATGTCTGAGATAACCTTCGTATATTACTAAATAATATCGTTTAATATAAAGAAACTCTGTGATCGTTTACAACAGCATAAATAGGGTGGAAGTACTCAAACATGCTCTCTTCTCTGCCCTTGTATTTTACGGCTTCGGGGAAGGGCTCGGTGCACGATTGCAAACCACGTACAGAATCTGTTCAATATCTCGGTGTTTAAAGGCAACGGAGTGCTGCCTTGGAGAGTCCCCGCAGCAGCATCTTGTTTAAGTCTGCTTGTAAACCCCAAAACAGCCTCTGAAAGGACGAATAAACTTCAAAACACCGTTACCACAACCGGCGTTTATTTTTATTTTTAAAAATTTTCCTTCCTTTTCTTTCACAGATTCGGAGCGTTACGTGTGCCTTAATTAATGTCTATTTTAGGCAGCGATTTCGCCCGTTTCCAATAACACGTGTATTAAATACTGCAGGCAGGCGCTGGCTCCTACCAGGTCCCTGGCGGGGAGCAGGCCGGGGCCGGCCGCGCTCTCCCCGTTTTTGCGCGTTCCCCCCGGTGTTTTCGCCCCGAGCCCCGCCGGAAAGTGGGGGGTGGGGGGAGGCGAACACGGACGGGCGCCCCTCCGCCGTGACGTCACGGGGAGCGAGGAGGGGGAGCCAATGGCGCGCGGGGCAGCCCGGCCCCGGCCCCGGCTCTGGCACCGCAAAATAAAGGTGAAAAAGGAGCAAAACGGGTGAGACGCACGGGGGGGCGCAGAAACGCTCAGGGAACGCCGCGGATGCACGAAGTCTTCTGCACTCGGCTGTAACGCTCCTCGGGCTTCGCACAGGGGCGCAGGCGCTGTCGTGCGGAGACCGACTACGCTTTGTTCTTCCCCATCCAGATTCTGCTCCGAATTGCTCTGTTTTGAACCAGTTGTGGCTTTTTTTTTTTTTTTTTTTAAATTTTTATTTTTTAGTTTTGTTTTCCAGTTTCTGGCTGTGAAAGAGGGTCGGAGGTTCACCGACTCACGGCTGCACCCTCCGTTCCCGACACTCTGGAAAGCGTCTCGAAGGGTTTGTTCTGCTTTCCTGAACATGCTGGTTGATGAGAATCTCAAAAGTATATTTTTCTTTAAGCCTGTATTACCGGCAATGAATCTCTAGCCCTGATTTCCATGCCTCTGTAGAGGCCGTAGAGCAGAAGCGGCTTTAGCCGATAAGAAGTCCCTCGGATGTTCCCCAAAGAAAAACAAGTAATACAATAAAACAAAAAAGAAATCCATCTGTGATCTCCAACGGCCTGTACCTGCGAGTGACTTCAAAAGAAACCAGGTCTACTCAAGGGTTTGGAAATGGATTATCCTCTCAAAGCGCCCCTCTATTGCAAGTTAAGGGTTAATCCTTTTACAGACATGTATCTTTTTCCCATTCTTTTTTACAGCTGGAATCTTTCACTGATGTCCCAAAACGTGCACTGGAACGTGGTGGGTGGACCCCAGACACCTCCAGCCCTGTTAGGATTGCTGCCTCCCCCTCCTCCTGGGGAAGTGCGCTGAGAGCAGGAGACATACCATCCCCTCCTCCCCGATCCCTGTCCTCCGCTCCGGCCCCGAATCCGAGGCGGAAAATGCAGATGGGAAGGGGAGGAGGGAAGTCTCAGGGAGAGCTGTAAAACCTTTACGCGGCGGCCTCAGCAAAAGGCAAGAAAGTCTTGACATTCTCGTAAAACTCCGGGAAGGAGCCGCTGCCGGGGCCAGGTGAAGGCTCCCGGCCCCCTCCCTTTGCCATTGAACTTGAAAATCAGAAAACCTGGGGCAGAGCAACCCCAAAATCGGGGTAGAGCAGCCCTAGGAGGTCCAGGGTGGGCGGGGGCCACAGGTATGGTTTTAGTAGGAGCACTGTTTTTAAAACATGGTTGTTGGAGAAGCACCTTCATCCACCGGCCCGCTCCAAGGTGCTTCTCAGCAGGTGAGCTGTGCCGAGCCCGGTTCCGCAGGGTCTGCGAGTATGGCATCCTTCTGCTTCCCCTTTCCCTTTCCTTTTCCCTTTCCCTTCCCCTTCCTTTTTTTTTTTTTTTTTTCTTTCTTTCTTTTTTTTTTTTTAGTCACATTAAAATGTAACACAGATACACCCATGAACAAGCAAAAGATAGAAATAGTGGGGAAGCGTCTTCCAAGTCCTTCCTTCGTGCCTCCTCCTCTTTCCCCCAGCCTTTGACTCCTCTCTTTTGTTCAAGTTCATTCCCATTGCACAAAGTGTCTGGACTTTTTTTTTTTTTTTTTTTTTTTTTTTCCCTTCAAAGGATTTTGTCATTGAACTTGAGCCCACGTTGTAAACATTCTTGGGTCTTACAAGCATCTTGATGAGATGTCATTAACAAGGACCTCAGACTGCTCTGTGCATTTCCCTGCTTTTCCTTTATGCAGCTCATAAGAGAATCCTATCTAAACCTCACGACAGAATCAAAGGTGCGATTTTTACATCCTGACTCCTTTTCTTTCCTAATCCGAGTCTAAAAATAAAATACAATGTAAAAGGAATCTCCGGGATTTCTGAGTCTCTCTTTTTTCCCCCATCTCTCTGTCTCTCTTTCCTATTTTGTACTGTTTTTCAAACACGAAGACGATGTGACTTCCTAGTGAGTGTGCCGCTGTACACCATCATGCATTTTCACATCTGTACACAAAACAGGAAAATTTTCATTGTACTTGCACCCAATAAAAATAAGATAAAATTCGTTATTACAAAGCAGTGTCAGGAAATGCCATTTCGATAAATTATACCGTTACACTCTGTACAAAAGCAAAATATTATTAAGTTTATACTGGAATCGCCTTTATCCTTCTCTGTTAGATGGTTTAATTGCCTTACATAAAAGAAAATAAGATGAAACAGGTTTATTGTCTGCAAGCAAACTCAACAATGATGAGTCTCACGCCACTGTGGAAGAGCCACTGCAATAAAATATTTCCTAAACAGCTACTAAACCTCTCTTCTCGTTAGAGTTCTTGCTCTAATATAGAGAAGCCAGCTTCCAAGTGAGAAATATTTCGATTTTCGAAGCTGAAATTCAATGTAGTCATGGTTTTGGAATTGGTTTTTGTTAAATAGTACTCAAAACCATTTCATTCCCACCGAAGAGAGCCGTGTGCTGAATGTTAATGTACACTTTAGAACTGTGAAATATATGCATTATAGATCCATGTACGATTTTCTGTTGCAATAAAAAAAGAGGAGAAAAGGGGGCTCTTTTCAATTCCTTTGAAGCACAACCTTTTCTTTATTTCCGTCTGCTCTGCAGCATAATGGCTAAACACATTTTTTGCTGTAAAGGGCGAGAGATGTACAAGCAGGAAACCTTGTCTCCACTGCCTATTTGCATTTCGCCGCATGTCCGCAGAAGAGCGCGAGGTAAAGCACCATGCTCGGGAAAGCGGCTCCGCGCCTGCGGCCGCTCCGCGCTCAGGCTGCACCACTGCCTTCACCGAATCGCCCCCGGTTTGGGTGCAGGCGGGACCGCAGCGCAAGAAAGAGGCGATTCCTGCTGCTCTCGGCCGTCCTGCGGGGCGGGAGGAGAAATCCGAGCCCGGCGGAGAGCCGAGGGCGAGAAGCCCGATTTATTCTTTTCGCACCGCAGACGTGTTCTCCGATCTAACGGGAACGTGGGATCCCAGATCGCCGGGAGCGGCAGCGGCCCCGAGGCTGGAAAAAATCACTTTTGAAGCAGAATTTTACACAGAAAGAGTAGAGCCCTAGCTGTGTCTGCGCTCACCTTGCACGTGTCTCCCGTCCCTTTGAACAATTTGCAGCTCAACAACTTTGTCCATTATCTGTAGGTTTTCGTTTGGTTGATTTTAATCTTTAACTTCCAAGGCTATCTGAGATTTGATTATTGTGATTATTATTATTATTGATTAATTAATATGAGAACATGCCCATTTGCTTTTATTTTTATTAGCAAGAAATAAAACCTTTCTTCACAGCCACAAGAAGGGTAATAACTAATGAAGAAAAATATGTAGAAATCAGTGCATCGGTTAGTATGAGACTGCAGTTTTTGTTGTTGTTGTTTTGCACGGAGAAGGAAAAGAAAATCCCGGCTGTGCTTATCTTCAATTTCACAAAGCAAAAACCAACCAAATGAAAGGATCTGTTGCATTATTATCAGGTAAATTAAATGCAGGAGATTAATCATGCATAAGACCAGGCAGCTTTCAAACACCTTGTGGGATATGGGGCTTCTAGCATTGTCCTTCAGCACCCATGCAGCTGCAATTGTCATGGTAAACGTGGCTGTAAATAACCAAGGCTGCTAAGACAGTCATTGCTCACCTGAAGTGCTGTTGGCAGACAAAAGAGAGGAGAATAGCATTTCTGGCTTGGAAAATTCCAGTAGGAAAAGTCTACCTGGAAGAAATCTGCTACTGAAGAAACTTGTCTTTAATCCACAAAAATAGCTATATGCCTTCATCCTTCCCCACCCCTAACAAATTAGTGAAGTGCTTTAGATTTCCTTTGACTTTAGCAGTCAGGTCAGGTACCTGCATAAACATTCACATCTGCACACTAAGCCCAGAACCCATTTTTTATGAAGTTTATCAGAAACAAAAACATTTCATATTTTCCTAAGAAAAAATAGAGAAAGAGTAAGAATGCCAAAGACAAAACAAAAAACAATACTTTTTTTTCATCATTTTTTTTTTTTTACATGAAACAGGGAAGATGAGAAGTAGAATGTCATTAAATTATGTTAAATATAATTTTTCCTGTACCGAGAAATGTTTGAAACCACTGGGGCTCATTCAGTGATGAACTCTGGAAGCAACAGCTTTCAGCAGTAGAAGTTCTTTAAAATGGGGTATATTTTGAGAGCAACACATGCAACCAGAACAGGGCATGACAGAGATCTGCAGACACTGAGTGACTGAGTCACTATTACCCACCTACCATTTCCAATCAGTCTAGATTGCACCTCAATTTGGGATGAAATTTCGGAGCAGCCCATCCTTTGTCCAAGTTAGAAGGTCTAAATATGCACTAAAAAGCCAGGAGTTGTGAAACGTAAAGCTCATTTGGCCTTGATGAGGTCAAGGGTGAGCCTTTCTTTCTGTCATGTAGCCTTGGTGCAGCATGTCCCTCCAGCTCTCTCTTTAAGCTTCAGGCTTATGCTGATGTGAAAAAAAAACAGCTATTATCCTGAAGTTCACATGAAAAAATCTGCAGTCTCCTGCATCGGTTTAAGTTCAAAGCAACCTCTCCAGGTTTAGTGCAGAGGAGACTGGGAACATGATTTCATGCACATTTGCAAGCAAAGAAGTAGAGCCTTTCCGCAGCATGAAAGTTATGATAGCTTCTCCTATTTGTCAGTCCACAATATCTCTTGGTTTACATTGCTGAAACACTGACCTAATAATGCTGCAACTCCACTGAGGATGGAGTTGGTGCTTCTTTCAGTGCAAACAGAAGTGCTTCTTTCATGCAACAGAGATTTTCTCCTACAATTAATTTCTGTCTCTCTTCTCTCCATCTGTCCTGTGCAAGCAGTGGCCTGTTAAGGCAATGTCTTTCAGATGGACAAGAGATTAGTGACCTGCAGTAGCCAAAGTAGCATATGCCCATGTGTTTTTCCATATGTGCACCCAGAAACAATCCCCAAAGGTCTGTGAAGATGAGACTGAGCCAGACAGTTGAGAAAGAGGTGGAAATTCATGACTTTGTATTTTTATTCACCAAGAAAATTTGTCTTGGTATAAGATGAGGAATTTGATCATGGTTTTGGGATGTTCAGAAACATGGAACAAAGGAACATAAGACAGGATGAACTCCATGAAGGTCAAGGAGTCTGATGTATTTAAAACATGCAGGAGCCTACTGCCTGTGAGCCAGTCTGTACAGTACACAAGCAGCAGTTCAGCACCCTCAGACATACTGTGTGGTACAAGATCTTTTTGTGCTGGGGGTTTCCAAGCAGTAACTGTCCTTCCTGCCCCTCCTCTCTCCAACACTAACTTCCCCCACCTGAACTTGAAGGGTTTCACAGCAAACAGATTGCAATCCACAGTCTACTGGATCCAGTGGCACAAGCAGTTGAGCAGGGCTAGCCGCCAGGACCATTTGCTGGGCTATTGCTTCTACTGGTGTCAAACAAACACAAAGTGCAGATCAGCTGTTGGGTGAAACGCATTTACTGGCCCACGTTTTCAGGTCTACAGTATTCCTAAAGCGTCTGTGTGAAATCTTGGATGCTTGTGCTGAGAGTATACAAGTTACTGATTGAGAACACAGCATGTAAACAGCCTGAATGTTTTTGGCTTATGGATATTTTTTTGGAATTTAATGCACCACCAGTACCTTCACCTATATGTAAAAAAAAAAAAAAAAAAGGCAGCGACAGGGAATTTAATCATTAGAAACAATATGTAAACTGATGTGCTTGATTAAATTTAACAATGTGTGTAAAGCCATAAAGGCTAGTGCTGAGTTAGAAGAGACAGGCAGGTGCTTCTTGTTAAAATTCTTCTCTTGAATTACATGGCAGGTTAGGGTGAGTTTCCTGTCATTTGAAGGATCACCCTGCTTGCAACATCCATCCATCTATGCATAGATTTTATAATAGTCAATTTTAAAACAGTACTTAACATCTCCGTATTTCTTAAATATTTCAACTACTGACATTTTTCTTTTCTTTGTCAGCTTATCCCAATTTTCAAAATATTTTCCTGAAAAAGATCTGATTCTTATTTATAAAACTCTGAATAATTGTTGTGTTCTAAGTTCTCACTCCAAGAAGTCAAGCATCAGAATTTAGCACTGACATAGCTTCAGCATATTTTTCCAAAACCCAAGGAAGTAAACTTCCAGTCTCCAGCATTTCACAGCAGCATGTTTGCCCAGCCCTGGTCCCTTCACCTCCATGAGAGGAGGAATGACAGTTAAAAGAGAAAGTGCGTTAGTGTAAACAGGGAAACAAACACTGTGGTGTTGCAGCTCCTCAGACATAAGGTTTTTGCAAGCAAAGGAAGGTCAGTAGTGATTTTATGGCAATCCTTGGTTAAAGTATGTTACCATCTCTGATAAGGCCTCCTGTTTTTCTCTTCCAGTTTTCATGAAACCTCTTTCTCCTTAATCCTGAATAACTCATAACCTACAAGGGTTTTCAAAGAAACATGAAAGTTTGTACACGGCAGCAAACATGCCACAGGTACAGAGTCTCTTGTACAGACCACAGAACTGGCATCTAAATAAATGTTTACATAAAAATCACACACCTTAATCTTTATGATACTTTATGGCTCTGTCTACAGGCTGTCCAGGTGATCCAAAGCTAGGGTCACTGATGTGCATCCTGCTCTCACGAACAGCCTATTGCACTTCTAGGGGGAAGCATAAGCCTGGCCATGGCACCTGAGCACAGACCCAGACACTTGTCTGTCCAGATGGACTGGGCATGGCTGGACCAAGAACACTGCTGCCCTCTGCCCCATTAGCAGGTGAGGAGTGCACTGATGAATCCCCCAGGGTGGAAATAATTGTGGGGACTTTCAGAGGAACCTCAAGGAAATTAGTACTTGTTTTTGATGGCAATCAAAAAGTTTCTGATCTCAGTCTTACAATTTTGTTCTCGTTACCAAATAAGCTTATCCTCTGCAATGACTCAGTTCAGTACAAATGAAAAAAGGACGAAGATTGTTCCTACAGGGATGCACAGAGCACTTTACCTTACACCTGTGTTTATTCTGCTTTACCCCTTCGGTCTGAATTTGGCTACATTTTGAACAACTGGCATCCGGGGAACACAGTAGTCCTAGCCCATCTGCACGGTGTTGTCCATGCACTGAGCAAAGCCCCCATCATTGTATATCTGTGGAGATGGTATTTTTTAACTCAAACCATTGAGTTATCCTCAGATTTTTCACTCCTGTTTTCTCACTTGCTCTGCTTTTCTTGCCAAATCTAATGCTGAGCTTATGTCTGAGATGCTGATGTTGGGACACCAGCCACCTAATTTCCTGTCTCTCTCCCAAGCTCCCCATCATCATCATTCCATAAAGGATGTGAAATCTGGAGTGAGATTCCAGGGCTCATAGGCTCCATTCCTGCTAATGCAGCTCTATTCATTGCCAATCCCATGTCCTTTCTTGGAGTGCTTTTGGCAGTCTTTTCCTACATCTGTGCTCAACCATCATTCAGACACATTCCACTAAACCTAAGGTTACACAAAAGCATGAAACAATGTGAGATGTACAGAGCAGAAATGGAAACACACTGTGTTTTGTTTTGTTTTGTTTGTTTTGTTTTGTTTGTATTTGAACCCACCAATGCCAGCACCTTCCTCTATGTTACGTATCTTTAAACATCACGGAGAGGTAAAGTAGGTGAGCTAAGAAATCTTAATGTAGTAGTTGGGGTTTTTGTACTTGAACTGTTTTTGGTTTTGTTTTTGTTTTTTCTTTTCAAAATATTTCCCAAAATCAAGCTTGTTCTTTCTCCTTCCCCACCCAAGTTTTAGAAGAAAAGGGTCTGAGATTCCTCAAAGACAAAAATAAATGTAGTCTGTCTTTGTTCTCAGCGTGAATTCAAACTCTAAGGCTGAGTGCTCTTAAAAGATGTATCCCAAGATTTGGTTTGCATTTGGTTTACAGCTTTTGCTTGAAAGGAATTAATGTATTTCTGAAGACCCAAGAAGCCAGTGGTTGGGGTACTATCCTGGCTACTTGAGAGATTTGAGTTGTACTTTGGGCTTTACCATGATCTCTAAATTTATTCCCAGTTCTTACAGCCATTGTCAAATACTCAGAGATCTCCATGGAACTCAGCTATATAAGGGTCAATATCTATTATAGTCTAAGTTGCAAAGAGGACCTCCCAGATCTGCCCAGTGTCTATCTTGACTGCCAGCAGCAGGCCAGAATCACAATGAACTTTGGCAAACCTGTAGGGTCCTCCAGTTTGTCTGACAGCAGAGTTCATAAAAAAGTCTGAAAAGATGCTGTGTGAACAGGCAGCATTTCAGTTATGCTGGCTGGAGCATGGAGAATGGCTGCACAACAAACCAGGACACTAAGAGCCTTGAATGTCATCCACCTTAGAGGGCTGCACACTCCCAAAATATAAATCTTTATTAATTAATTAATTAATTAATTAACATTAATTGTTACCTTTAAGCAATCCCAAAATCCATTTTTCTCAAATCTTCCTCTCTCAGATTTCAAGAAGAAAAGGCCAATTACACAGGGCTCTTCTTTTTCCTCCAGGTCAAAGTGGGGATATGCCAGCCATGCCTGGCAAGGTCAGTGATACCTGAACAACAAACCCAGACTTCAGCAAAATCCCAGAGAAGAACAAGACCGATTCAGTAAGTGGAATTTCTAGAAAGTTTCTATGAAAAGAGCAGTTTATTTATACTTCTACCACACAAATTTGGGCAGGAGCATTTCTTGCTTTGCTGCCTTCAGCCCTTGCTCTGAGCAGAGCTGCATTGCTGGTGCTGAGCAGTACAGAGGTGGCAAGTACAGGTCTGTCACATTCTTCAGGGCTCCAGTTCTCCACTGAAGCATCTGTCCACCTCCAAGAGCAGCTTTGCATGAAAAGAGGGAGAATCTAATTAGAGATCTCTGCTTAGCCAGAACTCTTTGTTCATTTGTTTCGTTTTGTTTTGCCTTTTATCTCCCTATTTGGTGTTGAAAAATAGAGAAACACAGAATAACCAAAGGGAGTTACCCCTTTTCCTCCTTATTTCTCTCTCTCTCTTTTTTTTTTTTTTCCTTCCCTTTGCTGCAATGTCAGATGCAGGTGGGAGAATAAGCGGATGTCAAAATTCTCTCAAGAAATTTGTGGACACCAGTTCTCCGTTCTCTCCCTTCATACTTCTGTAAGTCTCTACCACTCTGGGACACTTCTCACACTGGCTGCTCACTTCACCATCAAGCCCTTCATCACCCATTGAGAGCAGAAGGGCCTCAGGTATACCATAAGAGCCCCAAAGGGAGGGGTGGATCTGGGCCAAGTTCTCCCAAACCCGCTCCAAAGGCTCGTGCTTCCTCCCAGGCCGGTGGTGCTCTCAGGAAGCGTAATTCAATCCAATAATGCTTTGGGTATAAATCAGGATCCTTTCCCCGTCAGAGAGCCCGCGTGTGCAGGGATTGACAGAAGTGGGGGGGTTGACAGCACCGGGGCAACCCTTTTGCCGGGGTGTGTGTGTGTGTGCTCCAGGGGGAGCCGGGGTCCCACCCGCAAGGACAAAACTGCCGAGAAACAACCGGCCTCAGAAGCGAGCCCTTCCCATCACGAATCGGACCCCCTTTTCCCCCCCGCCGCGGTTCAATTTGCTGCGTGCCAGAGGGGAAATTTATCGCTGCCTGAACAAGAGCACCATTTTTTGGCTAAAACCTCTGGCTAAGCGACATTCTCAGATTCAAGTCCCTTCCGGAGAGGCCGCCGCAGCGTTTTGCAGTAAATCTGCCCGGTATTTCGGTTTCCAAAGGATGGCAAGCGGCTCCCCCGCCGCCACCCCCCTCCGCTCTGCTGTCCGCGGCCGCGTTCGGAGAAGAGGAAAGGCAAAGCCGGGGGAGCTTTGGCCGTGGAAGGAGCCGGAGGAGGGGAAGTGTGCGGGGGTGCCGCATATGACCGATTAATAAAGGAAATAATGCTCGTGTCCGAGCCCCATGGGTGCAGTCCCCGGCCCGTGCTTCGTCCGACGACCGAGCCAGGGCTGGCGGGCGGGGGGCAGCGGCGGCCCCGGCAAAACGACCTGAAAAAGCCTCGGAGAAGCGGTTGAGGGCAGCAGCCGGCCAGGAATGAACGGGAAAGGTTTGGGTGCAGGCGCAGTGTGTAATCTCTGCCGGGTGGTGGGCTGGGGTTCTCCGGACTGGGCCGCCTGGTTTTCTTTCTGGCTTTTCCTCCAGCAGCACGGACGGCAGACGGCGATAAACGACACGGAGCTCGAGGTCTTCCCCAGCCCGTCGTTTTTCTCCCGGTAGTTTTCCTCTCCGGAGACGATAAAAGTCATCGCCGTAAATACAAGCGTTTGCCTTGGATCTGTCGGCGCGCTGGGTGGAGGTCACTCAGCACACGGGAGACGTGTGTCTTCTCCCACCTCCGAAACAGCCTGGTGAACGTTTAGAAGCAAAGAAATCACACGATTTCATTTTCTTTTCCAATGAAATACAGGAATAAAGGCAAACAAAAACAAACAAGTTTCAGCAAAATCCCTGATTCATTATAAAAGAGAAACTCGCAAATTGAGCCAGTTTAAATTTAACTTCTGAAAATAGCAACTGTGTAATGCGTAACCCCCGCCCCAGAAAAACACAATTTAAAGCCCCACCTGCCATCCTGCCATTTTGTTCACATACCCTTCAAATCTGTATCCCAAAATTGTCTGTAGGCTGAAGCGGAAAGCAGCAGTGTGGCTTCGGCACATTGTTGGTTGCTTCTTGTGCACGGTTGCAAATCCTCTAATAATAATAATAATAATAAAAAAAAACTCAATTTCTGTTTTTGTTTGTTTGTTTTTAACATGCACACATAACAAATAATAAGGAGGCATTTCAAAGGAAGCTCAGAGACGTGTCCTTCTCACAGTAGTAATGATTTCACAAAACGCTCCTATATTTCAGCCTTGAAAATATTTCCATAAAAATAATCGTACTCACTCGGTAGAAAATGTGGCACTAATTCCCACATAATCATCAATGTTTTCCTTCCAGAACCAGAAATCAACCTCTTCTTAGATACAGAGTTTTTAGGCTACAGATAATTACTTGTCTCTATTTGCAGTTACACTTCCTATAGTGTGAATTAAATTATCCATACTGATTCCATGTGTGGAAGGCTTTCCTTTGCCTGCCGTCTGACTAAAGAAGAGTAAAGGTAAAGGGGTACATGCAGTTAAAAAACAATAGGAAGGTATAACTCATGGTAGGGAAGGTCCTGCAGCCCCAAGTTTCACAAGGAAAAACAAGGATGGTAAGTGAAATGTGAAGCAGATCTGAAATTATGCTGTAATATCTCATGTTGCCACTTTGCTTCATCCTCAATTCTCATTTTGGAGAAAGTTGGCATTGTATCTGTGGAAAACAAAATAAAACGAAGAAGGTCATTTCTTCCCCATGTAAAACCAAAGTTTATTTTGTAATTTTCCTTGTGCATGTATTTGGCTCACAAAGACACTTGCAATCATTCATATCTTGGCTGCAAGAAACTATATTCTATGCACAACACAAGGAATCAAAGCTGCTTGTGCCCCTAACACAGCATCTCTCCAAGCAACAGCTCCCTCATTCTGTCTATTTGCAGATGAATCTGAATAGCTTCTAGAAAGCACAATTGCAGCAGCATTGTGTTACCTTTTTTTTTTTTTTTTTTTTTTACCACTTATTTTCTAGACTTTTCCAACCCTTCAAGAAGAATTAGAAGTCATTCTTTCAGTACATCAAAACATCGCTTAAGGTAAGCTAGTTCAATTTGTATTGTTGCTTTATTTTTTACAGTTTACTTCTGTAACTCAAGCTGTTTGTGTTATTTTACTTTCTTAATGTATTTGGTGGTGCTCCTGTCTTGTTGCATAGTGACCTCATGCACTACTACTAATTAATAAATGCAGGAAATAAAAGCAAAGCACCAACCCAAATAACTGGAGGTATTTAATACCCGTGTTGCTTCAGGAAAGTGAATAGCAATGCTGGGTGCACACAGAGCATGGAGGACCCTTCTCAGTTGTGGACTGATGAGGACTCACAGCCAATACATCTGATCATATCCATCATTACTGTTAATCGCCTTCCAAGGAAAGGGAGGTCAGACTGTCACTGTGGACTCCCCTTCTTCCTTTGCTAAGAGCATTGGGTTGGAAAAGAACCTTGATGGTGTAGGTGGAGCTGTGCTGAGAGTCAGCATGGCCATGTCCGACCTGCCTGTGCTGTCACAGAAAATCTGTGGCTGGTCATGCCCAGACAGAACGAGGCTTTCAGACATCTACCTAACTTGCAGTCATCTCCCACCAGGATGAGTGATCCTCCGGGCCGGCAGAGGCAGGGCTGCTCTGTAGGGTGTGGAGCTCTCCACGGTGCTGCAGGCCCTGGGTTCAAGCACTGCCCTGGACAGCGGCTGAGCTGCGCAGCTTTGTTGCAAAGGCTGCTTGGTATGCCAAGACTGTAAATTCCTGTTGACACCGGGGTGGAGTATTGCTTCGTGTTTGCCTAACAGTGAGGTGGGGTTTCTGAGCTGCATCTAGGCACAGGTGTTCCTGCAGGACCACTAATAAATGCTAATAACTTCTGATCGCTGCTCAGTGGTTCCATGTCAAGTTTTGAGACTGTATTGTCTGAGCATTTTCTGGGTGATAAAGTAAAAAGTACATTTATTATATATATTCTGTCACAATGCATATGGAATTGGACTTCATTTGCTTATAATTTTCTGTATGATATCACTCTAAAAGAACAAGATCCATCTGTTGGGCAGAGAAAAGCTGCTCAAATTCAATTCATTTTTGTCACCATTTCAGGGGTGTAACCTTTGACAGAACATAGTACGAGTCTTTGAACAAAACAGTTGTGCAACTAGCATTAAATAGCCTAATTGAATCTTTCACTAACCACACCCACTTGCTTTGGGCAAAGGCTTTCTCTGTGCAAATATAATCATGACCATTTGCCATGAAATTTATTACCTTTCGAATCATGTGAGTTCCGTACTACATGCAGACTTAAAAGAGTAAATGCCATTGGTTCATCTTCAGCATAACCACTTGTTTCACTAAGGTGCCTCATAAATTCATTCTGACTTTCATTAGTTTGCCTTTGCTTCTGTGTTACACTTCTTTCTGCCTTTCCAATGCATTTCAGTTTGATTGCCCCTTTAAGCTCTGCCCCTATGAGATGGAGATATGATATTTATTCTTGTGTGTGTTAAACACCAGCTATTTCTGTTGTTATGAGGCAAAAGTAACAGTAAGATTAATTTCATTTACTATTACTTTCTGGTTTAGGTGTCAGCATTAAGTAAATTGATTTTCAAAAGATGCTGAGCACCTGCCATTTGGGGGAAGCACCCAAAATCTTTTCCAAATTTTGCCATATTCTTTCTTCTTGTTCCCCAAATATCTGTCAACACCAGTGATCCAAACAGGGATGTCCAAAACACAGAAACAGAAGGGGAAGTGTGGACAGGCCAGGGCTGGTCTGTAGCCTACTCATCAGCTGCTCCTGGTCTGCATGATCAGAGGCACTCTGCAAAGAAAAGGCACTCTGGAAGGTAAGCAGAAGGTGAGAACTGTGAGAATGAGAATCTGCCTAAGATCTTAGTTCCCGTCTCAGCTTTCTACATGGTCTCAGACAATTTTACCTTGTTATCACCATGACACGTATCCTCCTACTGCCAGAGATCTCACATTGCCTTTAGACTCCAAATCCATGTTTTCTGTTCCTTGTAAATAAAAAGTCTTTGAAAACATGTAATATAAATCTTCTTGGTTGTGATCTAAACCATTATCACATGTCCTGTCCGCCATGAAAGTGACAAACATGACACACACTAGTCTTGCAGCCACTTTCATATATTATTTAGACAATGGTCTGAAATTTCTCTTTCTACTTTACTTCTTTAGACTAGTAAGTCTTCAAATATCTTTAAGGACTCATTAAATTTATAGAGAGGAGGAGAAATTGATGTGTAACATAGGCATTCACTGCTCAGTGTTTGCAAAGTGTTTGAATGGAAAAAAAAAATTTATAAAGCTATTGGAATTTATTTTTTCCTACTTTGTTATCAGTTTGAAAGTCCATGGTAGGGTTTGGCTTCGTGCAGCTACTGGAGTGCAATAATTTTTGTTAACAATGATGGTAGAATGAGATGTGTGTGGATTGTATTGTTACAATATAACTGGATTATATTGTTATGATTCTTTATTTTTGAAAGAAACATTAAAAATAGATATGAAATTGAAGTTTAAATTAAAAAGCTGATCTGGAAAAAGGATTTATTGCATTGCATAAAACACTCATCAGCTTGCTTGATCTGCTTTTTTCTTCTTATAGCTTTCTGGGTGATGGCTAAGAGGGGACTTTGCCCAGACTCTGCACCTCACAGAAAGGAAGTCACTCCTGATGGTTATCAACTGTTTTGAAGACTTTAAGGAGTTAACTCCAGACCTTGTTCTGGCTCCACTTCTCATGAGTAGATTTTATGGGCTCCTTTTAACTCACAGCACAGACTTGACACTGTGGCCTTTTGCAATAATACTCTCACTCATATTGTTTCTTCTGGAAACTTCTCCTGCTCAGCTTGTGCCAAAAAGCTCCACATTCCAGTTCTCCCAGACTTGAGTGGCTTGTGTTGATTTTTTTCCCCTCATCTCTTATTTCTTTATGTAGTCAACAGTTAGCAAGAGACAAGATGGACAAAGGACTTTTTAAACAGGCTTTTTTCATTTTTTTTTTTCCAGATGTTTCAGATATTCTTTATCTGAGCACCCATTCTTTTCATGACCACACACCCTCACCAGGATGAAGTGGCCCAGTGGGATGCCCACGTGTGTTCCAATGCTCATACATTAGGTTTTCCACACCTTCCCCCAGGAAGCAGTTGGAAAGTCACTGAAGTGTTTAGCAGCTCTCCTCAAATGAGTGTTTTTTTACTCAGAAGCATCTTGAAATCCTTTCCCCTTCTCATCTTCCCCTTCTGCCAGGTCCTAGACACATTCAAGTGCAAAATTATAATCATTCTCAAAACCAGTTTCACTGAAACATATGTAACACCTGTGGCACTCATAATAAAGCACTTTTCAAATATCAGCTTGGATCTTCACCATTGTCTTAGGGAAGAGGAGATATGAACTTTTTTTTTTTTAATTCATAGATTCTGCATAATTTTCCAATTTTGTGATCCTTATTTTGCAGATGAGGGAACAAGCAGAGAAGAGACGGAGTTACTTGATCTATTTCACACAATGTTATAGAATATACCTTGGAATAAACATTGCCAGTGTGTTACTCACAAGCCTGTCTCCACAGGGCAGAACAAGAATGTATTTGCTAGTGTGAGGGTGTATTGCATAAATAAAATTGTGTCTGTGAAATCAAATATTTGGTGGAGGTTGAGAGAAAGTCTATAAAAATCTGCTTGTTTCACCAAAGATACATCTGCATCTTCTGTCTGAGTCTTTAAAAAGACAGAAAATCAAAGAAGATTAATTAAACAGAAGCCTAATGAAAATAAACAGTGAATTATGCTCATGATTGGATCATTCAGCATGAAGTTTTGACTGACTTAAAAGAAAACACGCTTTATTGTTAACTCTGCTTTTTTCCTTTTCATTAGACCCAGTTTGTAATATTTAATACCACTGTGTAAAGAAACATGGGCTACCGAAACCCACAGTCCCTGTAAGATCCCCCATCTGTGTTTCCATTTTACAGCCTTCCTCCATCACAGTAATTTGACCTTTTCCTTGAAAGGAGAAGTGAAAGAGGAAAAATCCTCTGAAGTATCTCTTTTTAACTGGTGTTTTTCATTTCAGTTCTAGCCAGGGATTGCCCCCTCCTGGATGACAGGAGGAAGTCGAATCCCACAACCTTGGAATCCTTCCCTTTAGGCTGTAACCCATACACCCACCAGACCTAAGGGACAATTTGCTTCTTCCAGGGCAAGCTGTCCTGTAAAGTAAGATTAATGCCACCAAAACTGTGGGTAACCACACCATCCACTGGGGACTAAGCTGCCAAAGATAGAAGGATAGCCAGGACGGAGGATGATAGAGATCTGTCCCAGCCTGGAAGGCAAAAGGAAGTGTTCGGGGGAATATTTTTACACTGTTTCTGGGGATGGACAGGTTGTTTCTCACATAATGTGTGATTAAACTGTGGAACTCACTGCTACAGGAGGCTGCAGAAGCCAAATGTGTAAACAAGAGTCAAAAAGGGGGACACATCTACCTTTGGCTTTCAACCACAACAGTACAGGCAGAGACACCAGGTCAGAAAGCTTCTTACCCTGTTGATTGTCAGAGGCTGGGACAAAGCTGCAAAGCTGCACTCCATGCATACTTCTTTTTCCCTACTTATCTACTCCCAAGCTCTGCTGGAAGCAGGATGTGAGGCTCAACAACTCTCTCAGCCAACACGTGACAAATCTTGTTCTACCTAGCAGCATCAATGCTGCTGGGTTGCACAGCTTTTGTAAGACCTGTTTCTAGGTAATGGCCAGCCGCTTTCCCACTAATGACAGGTAATATTGTGACCTTGGCTCATCCCCTTCACCCACCTGTGGGATGACAGACAGACATATGGACATGGCCATGGCCTACCACAAAGCACATGGTGCTTCCCAGCACTTTGTTGTCCACTTGTCCTCAGCGTTTTTCTAACTGGAATATATAGCACTGTGAAAATCCATCCCAGTGGCATGCCACCATGCCCTGGCTGTCAGTTTAGTTTGTGTAGATGCTTTTGTCTCTGTGGTTGTGTTCCCAGGTCTTTCTCTGTCCCCATTTTCAGCATCTACTGCCACTCCTCTTGCATCATGTGAGCCAGGAAGTTTCCAAGGTGCTTGGAGACTTTCACCAGGCGGTGAGACAGAAATGCAAAGCATACATCCTTTGTGTATTTAAGACTCATAAAAAAGAAGCCTACACCTATTTCATCTGCCCTCTGGAGTCCCAGAGTTGGCCTAATATGAAATGGGGATTGGGGGAGGGGTGGGATTGTTTGTTTGTTTTTTGTAATGTTGCTATTTAGATAAGCAGGAGAGAAAGCTCATTTCTCTGCCTAATGGCAGAAGAATAACACTTATGAAGTTGAATGAACACCATTAAAGGGAAAGATTAGAAGTCACTTTAAAGTGGCTCTAGGGGAAGTTTTCAACCAATTGATTTGCAACCATGACACTGTATAAAGATAGAGCTAATGTGAGTGCAGTGAAGTCATAAAGATAGGCAGACTTGGTTTTAAATTAACAGGAATATTGTTTATACTCAGGACATCAGATAAAGGAAACCTTTTACAGAATCTCTGCTACTTCCTAATCATCCCCCTCCCTTCCAACAATATTAGAGTAGTTAATTAAAAAGTCAATATAAAACTTCAGAAGGCTTGATCGCCCACTCTCTTCCCCCCCCCCCCCCCCCCCCTTTTTTTTCTTTACTGTTGTAGTGGGTTTACACGGCAAGGTTTTGGTAGCAGGGGGCCATAGGGGTGGTTTCTGTGAGAAGGATATAGAAGCTGCCCCCTGTTTGGTAAGGGCCCCACTGCTGACCAGAGCCAAGCCAATAAGCGATGTTGTTTTGTGCCTCTGTGAGAGCATATTTGAGACAGGAAAAAAAAATGCTGCGACACACAGCAGCTGGGAGAGTGAGAGGAGTGAGGAACGGCCTTGCAGGCACCAAGGTCAGTGAGGAAGGAGGGGGAGAGGTGCTCCAGGCACTGGAGCAGAAGTCCCCTGCGGCCTGTGGTGAGGACCATGGTGAAGCAGGATGTCCCCCTGCAGCCCATGGAGTACCACGGTGGAGCAGGGTTCCACGCTGCAGCCCGTGGAGGAGACCACGGTGGAGCAGGTGGCCCTGCACCGACGGAGGCTGCCGCCTGTGGAAGACCCCTGCCGGAGCAGATTCCAGGCCCGACCTGCAGCCCGTGAAGAGGAGCCCACGCAGGAGCAGGTGACCTGGCAGGAGCTGCTGCCCGTAGGGGAGCCAGGTGGGAGCAGTTTTCTCCTGAGGGATGGACCCCGTGGTACGAACACATATCTGGATCAGTTCTGGAAGAGCTGCTGCCTGTGGGAAGCCCACGCCGGATCAGTTCATCAAGGACTGCATCCCATGGGTGGGACCCCACAGCACAGGGGACGAGAGTGACCGAGAAGGAGCGGCAGAGAAGTGCTGTAGACTGACCATAACCCCCATTCCCCCATTCCCCTGCGCCGCTCGGGGGGAGGAGGTGGAAGAAGGTGTATGGGGGGGGAAGGCGCTTTTGGTTTCTTTTCTTTGTTTCTCACTTCTCTAGCTTGTTAGTAATAAGCAATAAATCTTACTATCTCCTTATGCCGAGTCTGTTTTGTTACAATAATTACTGTGTGATTTTCTCATCCTTATCTCAACCTTTGAGCTCTTTTCACATATTTTCTCCCCGTTCCTCTTTGAGGAGGGGGAGTGAGAGAGCAGCTGTGGTGGAGCTCGGCTGCCCACTCGAGCGGAACCACGACAACTGTGTGCTTCATTTTTATTAAGGTTGGTTGGCTTCTGTCAGGATAAATACATAACATCATTGTTTTATTCTCCAAAAAGCCACTGAATGGGATGCTAATAATATTTAAATAATAATAAACAATCCCAACAGCAGTTTTTATGACCTGGTTTCTGCTGAACTCCCTTTTGGTTCAATTTTGCTAAAACTCCAGCCAGATCTCATCCTACACACAGTTCCCATTCACCATGCCATGGTGGCCTGACTGGGGCCTGGGGACTGGACCAGGTCTGGGAACCTCCCTGGATCAGCTCTGTTCTGGCCTCCCTGTGCATAAGCTTGTGGCTCGCAAAGACAGGAGATGTTTCACTCTCTCACATTTATCCCTTAAATTTCCCCTTCCTACAGAGGCACTTGAATAATCAATACCCGCATTAAAAAAAAAAAAAAAAAAAAAAAAAAAGCTTTTTTGAGACAGATTGATCCCTTCTGTTTTGCCTCAACTGCTAAAAAGTGAAGAATACATATCTAGACTGAAGACAGAACAGTACTCTGACAGCCGTTTAAATCAGTTAGAGCCCAAATTGCCTCAAATCACAAATGCACAGAGCACCATGCTGCATTTCGCACTAGCGGTGCCTTGCTGCTACACTTTTTGATGTAACTTGGCATAAATGCAGATTGAACCCCTCCTTCCCTAAAAACACAAGTAACCCAATTCTCACTTCCTCTCCTAGGTCCAGTGTTTTTATCCTCCCCAGCTAATTCGCGCCCGTTAATTAATTGAGCCCATGGCTCCCTCTAGCGTCGCTCGGGGCCATTCCCGGGGGCGAGGGCTCTGCTCCCGGCCCCGACCCCCGCCCTCCCTCCCTCTCTTCTCTACCATTGGGCTGGAAAGGGAAAAGGCTCTATGAGCTTAAGCAGCACAGCAGGACCTGGCCTGTGTCGTTTTACTGAAGAGCTTTCCGTGTGTGGTTTGCATGAATGACACAGAGAGGTCTTCAATGTTCTCTTTAAAAAAAATGATGGAATACAGCTAGACCATTTAGACTGTGAGGTCTTTTAGACTATAGTGACACCAGAGAAGGATCTGGAGCTGAGTCTGTTCAAATCTGGGGCTTCAGTGCAGTGGGCTGTGGTGGTTTTGAAGGTCCTGGACCTTCAAACACTTTCCTGCATTCTTACTTCCTCTCAGTGTCAGTGGATTTCACCGCTATGTATTTGTATGTGGACATGAACACCATGTTTAACAGCCAAAGGGACCTGTTTATGGTGGAGGCTGGTTTTGGTGGGATGTAGAGACATTCAGCAGGGGACATCAGGACTGTGCCATGATGCTGCTCACACCACCCACATACCCTCATCCCCTGAAGAATGCAGAGGCACTGCCTGTGCACAGGTACCCAGGAGCTGACAAGCACAGGCTCCTGTCTGCAGCATCCATGGGCACAAGCCAGATTGCTCTGAACTAGAGAATATGTTCACTTCTTCATTTAGATAGGAATTCCACTAGAGAAATTAGGTTTCTGTAATCAATTGCTACCCTGAAATAAGTCTTGAAGTGCTCTTTGCTTCTCTTATTGGTATTTCTGTGGGGAAAATGAGGCATGCAGCTGTGATCAACTCCCCAGAGCTCTGCAGGATCTCACAGAGGGAAGCTTTCATAATTGTGTTAGGCACAGATTAGAGATGACATCTCCTCCAGTGCCCCTCTGTTACTTCCTTGACCTTGGGGGGACCTCTTCCTTTCTTCCCTTCCTGCGAAGATGTACAGACTTCTTGCTCCTTCCACCTCCAGGCTGCCATGATGAGGGGATGTTCCTTCTCTTGCTTCCCACAGCATCTATCTCCATAAAACTACCAGCATCAGGGCCTCTGGGACTGCCCAGAATATAAATAATAATAAATAATGTGGGTCTTCAGGTTCCAGCAATCTTTCCCCTCCTTTCTCCTCTCCTTTATCCCCTGCTTCAGCCATTGTGCATCCTTTGGGCAGTCTGCAGGTATGCAACCATCCAGTTGTTCATAATTCTTTGGGAGTTTGTCCTTTCTCACCCTGACTGAGGCATTCTTCTTTGTTTGGAAGACTTTTCCCTGTGATCTCCAGCAGACGCACCTCAAGTTTCAATCCCAACCTTGCACTCCTGCTCCTTATTCAAGAACCGTGATCTGTGTGACCTTTAAGGTCAGACATCTCTAATCCCAAGAATAACAACTCTCTAGTCAACAGGAGGATTTCTCTCTCTCCAAGTTTATGAGGGGTAGTGACTCTGGGGGTGGGGTAGGGAGAAGAGACCTTAAAAGGTCCACATCACCCGTGGATGTGAGCTAAATAGTTTCAGGATGGTGCTACAACTTGCCTTTGCTCTGTCAGAGGGAAAATACACTGGGCTCTTTTGCTGGGATCCATGGTCTCACTTTGTTCTTGTGACTTACCATGTGATTTTGGGGCCTTTTTAAGAAAAAAAAAATATAAAAAAACCTTCTAAAGAAAACTGGCAGATTAAGGGGCAAGACCACCCCCCAGCCCAAGCACCAGGACAACCATAGAGATGGAGAAGTAATTTTTTTGGCCCTATTTGGGTTCCAAATCTTCAGAAAGACTGGAGAAGAGGAGGCTGTTTTTTCAAAGCTGTGAGACACTGACACTGCACAAAGGAGAACCGTAAACCTGTGAGTCCAGGTGAGCAAGAGGGAGAGGAGTGCTTCCATTCCCTCCCAAAGGAAGCTAACTCATGGATTTGTTCTTGTGCTTTTTCCTTTCCTAGATTTCCAGTTATTTCCCATTATTTCACCTCCTTTCTCCACCAAGCTCCCTCTTTGAATTCCAAAATATGTGATTAATTAGGAAGAAAAGCAGCAGGAACAACAAAATGATATATCTGTGGAGTTTCTACATTTACTTCAGGCTGGTGTTGGGCTGGGATTTTTCTGTGTGGATGATGGCCTACAGGGGAGCTGAGCAGCCCTTGCCATGTCCCATGGATGGGAATGATCAGGACAAAGAAACCCCATCACCTTCCAGCAGAGACTGGAGCTGTCAAATGTGGAAAGGTTCTCCCCACCATGGGCATCCCATGGATGTTTTAGAAGCCAACAATGCCTCTGACTGGAATCAGAATTCAGCTCCAAACAGTTTGAAAATCCTGTGTTTTAAGGTCAAGTCGTGAAACAGCTCTCATTGCAAGGTTTGACTGCTTAAATTCATGCTAAATCTGGAGGGATCTCTTCCTGGGAAATGTAACCTGGAGAGAGGGGAAATGCAGGATAAGTTAAGGAATGAAATGAAACTGTGTCCTGGGAGTCAGGTTGTAAAAAGTTGTTACCTGGTAGTGTTCAGGCTCAGGCACTGTACATGTAAAGAGACTTTTACAAGGAAGGTTTATTTTTTGGACTGGGGGCAAAAGGGCTGTGGCGAGGGATGCAGAGGAGCCCCACACTTTTTGGAGCCGGGCTGGACAGTACCAGAGGTGCTCATCCCAGAGTTGGTCACCTCTAGTGCCAGTGGCAAAGAACATTAGTACCTGCTGGTAGCAAACATCGAGAGGTAGCAGTTTGGGGTTGTTTACATGATGTGGCAAAATTCCCTTTGTTTCCTCTGCCCTTAGCAGCAGGTGCCCCACACACTCTTTACTGCAGGATTTAAGCAAAAAAAAAACTACAGCAAAATACGTTTCCTAAATCCTAAGGTCTGGAAAGCCATCAGCAAGGAGAAGGTATGGTGGTGGTGTTCCCTGCAGCCTATAGGATCCTTTTCTGTCACTCATTTCTGAAAAAACACCATTTATATATATATATGTATATTAAAAAAAAAAAAAAAAGGAAAATCTTCATTTCTTCTATCCGAGACACCTTGAAACCTCAACCACTGACTTTTCCTTTAAAGGTTCTGTGCCCATTTCTCCTTTTTGTTTGTTTGTTTGTTTGTTTTGTTTTGTTTTTTGTTCCCTCCCAAATGACTCCTAGTTATGGAGGAACATTGAGGACAAGTGAGCAAGTGTGGGGAGTAGGGCCAAGGCTGCAGAGAGTCTGGCAGTAAGGTGGGGATTGTAACGGTCAGTTCCCTTGGCCACTCTGTTTTTGTCCCCAGATGGCTGAAAGCACCACTGGCTGACACTTTGGACCATGCAGTCAATGTGCAAAGCATCTCTGGACTTTGGTCCCTGGGGAAAGGACAGGGTAGAGTGTGAATGGAAAAGCCCCCCCCCCCCCTCCCAAGGGACCACCGTGCAGAATCAGAACCTGGGGGAGGTCTGATTTTTTTTTTTTTTCATTTTAATGAAGGACTTTTGGCTACATTCCCTGTGCAGTGCAAAGGTCCATTGAGAGAACAAATGCAAAACTGTTTGGAAGAGGAGATGGGAGGCAGAAAGCTGCTGAAATGGGGAAAACCACCCCAACTTCATAGCTCACAGCTGCAGCTCAGATAACTGTGGGGGGCTGGGTCCTGCACACTGCTCCATGTCAGTCCTGACTGCTGGAGAGGAGCACTGGTGTTGGAGACCACCAAAAAAGGGTCAAATAACCCTCTAGGGCTCAAAGTGTTTCCAAAATGCCATTCTCTTTCTCCCATGGTTGTTTTAAAGCAGAGTTTGGTTTTGGTTTTCAGGGCTTTTTTTTTATTTTCTACATGAGGTTTTGGTTTATAATTTCCAAAATCTGTAAAATCCTTCCCCTTCCATAACTCTTTAAAAGATTTGTCCATTACTATCCACTAAAATCAGCACAGTTTTATTTTTGAGATCATGTTGTTAATTCAGAACTAAATGTGACTGTAAATTATCTCCTCCCAGAATGAGCTTTAATGTTTCCACCAACACCCTGTCCCTGCAGGCTTACTTCCAGAAGGGAAGGTGTGTTGCAAGTGAAGGAATTGGATAAATAGATTCTAATGAGGAACCATTTTTTACCTTTTCTTCATTCTCCCAGTCCGTGTTGTTTTGGAAACAGTGCCTTCAGCCATCGGAAACCTGGTGTTGCGGTTAGTGATTTTTTTCTTTGCAATTACAGCTCTGCAGAGGATTGTGCCACAAAGCATCATTTTTCTTAAAGACAGGGTCAAAATTAATTCACTGTGATAGTTAAATTGCCCTGCGTGGCCAGGCATTTAATCCCGTGTATAAATCCTTATTGAAGAGAGAGGGAGCAGATTGGGCACGGCCCTCCCAGGCAATCTGGGTTTCCCCCGTCTGTTGGATAAGCCCTAAAGCAAACCCCAAAATTGGATGGAGTCCCCCCAGCCCCGGCTAGGAAGGCTTAGAGTCCTCATCCAGACGCTCACCAAGACCTTGAATTCCTGCCGGAAGGGGCGGGAAAATAAAAATAAAAAAAAAAGGGGGGGGGGGGGGGCTAAGTCGAAGGAAGTAGGGCACGGGCAGGAGAGCAGGGGCAAGGGCTGTTGCCCCCACCTCCCCACCCTGTGTCCGTGCAGAGCCGCGGGCCGCGATTTTTCCAGGAGCGGCGCGGTTTGGGAAGGGTGAGGTGGGGCGGGGGTCTCTTCCTGGGATCTCCCGGCTTTCGGGTGCTCCATGCCACAAGAAGGGAGGGAGAAGCCCCAGCTCGGAGGCCAGGTGATCTTTCCTTCCCTGAGAGTGCTACGGTCTTTTTGCATTTAATACCTAATATTCAATATTCCCGTCTCCCTCCTCCACCGCACGTAGATGTGTGCAGCCTGTGAGCAAAGTGCACTGCAGGGAGGTGAGGATTTGTCCTTTGAGCCTGTGAGGACCGAGCTGTGCGCTCCTCAACGGCAAAAGCTTCGAGACCGGCTTGCAAACGCCGAGTTGCATGCACTCAGCTGGGGGTCAACTTTCGCAAAAGGACATTTTCTCCTCTCTGTTTTTCAGGATAGGTTTTTGTGCTTTGGCACAACCACAGGCTTCCGCTTCATCTCCACAAGAGCTTTCTGAGAACAGCGACCACCCCAAAAATGGGGAAGCTGGAAATAGAGGTGTCAGCAAGCTGCGTCGGAATCAAGTGAGTGGGGAGGAGCGAAAGGAGAGTCGGCGTTAGCTGCGGCCGCATGTCCTCAAATTAAAAAATACATATCCACCCCCTGCAAACCAGTGAAGTTTCCCATTAAAGTTGACACCAGGGGATGGTCTTAGCAGTCTCGTCCGCCTCGGATTGGTGAGCCCTCCGGAAGCCTCTTGCACACGCATTTTTTAACAGATAAGTCGCCAGAGACTTGCCCCCTTCTTCCCTCCACCTTATCTCAAAATACCTTTTTGCAAAGCCCGAGCCCTCTCCCCTAGCCGTGCTGGCAGCTGCCTTTTCCTCCTCTGCCTTCTACTCTCCGCTCAAGGTTCCTCATTGCAAAGAGGTGTGTGTGTGCGCGTGTGTTCCTCCCCTTGCACCTTCCTTGGGGTGCAAATCAGCCGGGACTGATTCCCCGCACCCTGCTTTCCCCACCGAGCCCGCAGGTTCCCAGGAGCCGCTTGAGCACGTTCCCCAGCTGCAGGCGGCTGTCTCTGGGAAGGTGGCTTCGCACCCGCTGGGTCGCACGCTGCAAGTGGGGATTTTGAGGTGCCCGTTGTGCTGGACCCTGATTGTGGACCGGGGGAAAGTAAAAAAGAAGATGTCCTTTTGCGGCAGGAAGCTCCATCTTTAGACAGGTCTAAAGATGCTAAAACATCACAAGAAATCTAAGGTGGGTAGAACAAATACATAAAAATTAAACTCCCCTCCCTAGGTTTTATAGCGGATGAAGGCAAACAATCAGGAATTAACGACGAACAGGGAAAGCCTGCAGTTTGCCGTCAAAATAGAATGGTTTCGTCTAGACTGCTAAACAGGGGGAGGGAGAGTGCTTTTTTTTTTTCCTTCGTTAACACAATGGCCCTTTAGTTAAAAATTAATTTACAGCACCCTCGCTCACAAGCCAGACTAACGTTCAACCAGAAGGAGTCTCTAGGAAAGAACTGGAAAAAAAAAAAAAAAAAAAAAAAAAAAAAAAGCAGACGCTGGGGAAGGTTTGCTAGGTTGTAACAAGTGGTGGAAGGATGCCTCTGCGAAGGAGAGAGGCTGCCTTTATTTATTCATTCCCCGTATATGTGTGTTTTTTGTTGTTGTTTTCTGTTTTGTTTTTCGGGGGGGGGGGGGGAGGGGGGGCACTTAAAAAGAAAAAAAAAAAGTAAAAAGAGAAGACGCAGACTAAGAGAATTGAACAGGTAAGTCTTGGCTGGATTCGACTTCTCCGGGCGGTTGGGGAGGGATATGTTTTTCGTAACGTGTTGGTCTTTTTATACTTTCCCACACGTAAATTCCCAGAATAGTTTATCCTCCTCATCAACTACAGAAGTCCGGATAGAAAACTGTTACACGGCTCTCCGGACGGGCGAGCAGCCTTGCTTATTTTCCCTCTTCTTTGTTTTTCATGATAAATTAATGCTCCGTCTTCTAAAAGTTCAGGCTCTCTTTTAAAACAAAGATCAGACGCAAAACTGCTTTGTTTGTATTCCCCCTTCTCCACGCGTCTGTATCTCTGTTGGGAGTTTTGACTATTATTTCTCACGGTTTCATCTCTTCACCATTAGCACCGTTTATTTGGTTATGTATTTGGCTAAAACCACTAACCTGCGCCATCGACTCGGGGAATGGATTGTAGATGAAAGGCAGCCGCGTCGCAGTTCCAAGCACACCGCAGAGAAATCGCACTTGGCGCAAGGCTGGGAAAATCTTCTGGAATAAATCCCCCCAAATTAGTGGTTGCCTCGCCTAGTGCCTACCTAGTTAAAATATAATAATAGTAATGCAACCCACAGCTTCCTGTTCGCATGACTCTTCCATTTTCACTGTTGTCCTTTCTCCTTCCACTTTTTTTTTTTTCTTATGATTCCTAGAGCCTAGCATTTGGATGAGAAGGAAGGTTACTTGCTAGACTTGAAATTAGAAGTCTGTTTCGACAAGATTGCCAAGGCCACTTGCTGAGGAGGACTCAGCTTTTTATGCTGCCATGTGTTTCTCTCCGTGTGCATAAACTTGCGTCCATCCGCAGAGATGCAGAGATAGGAAAGCAGTTGTGCCGTAATGAGGTACCTTTAAATTTAATTTCCTGTCCCTCCCATGTTTTATGGATTTTTAATAACAATGTTGGAAACCAGAAAAGAAATCTCTTTAAGTCTCCGGGATAGAGGGCTTACGTACGTAATTGAAGGTAACCGGGCTTAATTACATTTCATAACAAATGGGTAGAATAGGAAGAAATGCAGTATATTGTTGAAGAGAGTACCCAGTGCTAGATACATTTCTGTTGTTCCTTTCTAGAGCTTTTTATCAAGATTGCCCTTTAATTTTTTCCAACGGGTAAGTTTTGCAAAGAGTTAAGCATAATTCTAAATACCCCGACATATAGCAATTAAAAAAGAGAATATTTTTAAAAATAAATTATCACATGAATTTTTGGACCACTTGGTAAAGCGAGAGGTTCAATGTCAGAAAATTAAATTCGCTTTACCGATAGGTTTTGTATCTGAATCTAGGCTTGTTCAAAATATTTTGTGTTGACAGCCAACATAAAGTTTCTGACTCTTTTGTACCTGCTGCTAGATTACTTATTAGGGTTCTGCCCTTAACCACTCTGCCCAAAGCTTCTATTGTGAATTAAGGTCTCATTTGATTAACTTAGAAGGTTTGCCGAATGTGTGGACACTAATAAAATTATTATTTTTTTAAAGTGAAGCACCCCTGCCGTTCCCCGTCCCAGGGTAACGATGCCGTTTTGGGTCCGGGACCCTGCAGCCGGGCCGGGCTGTGAATCCGCGGCAGGGGCAGAACACCTGGAATGGGGCTGAGTTCAACCGTGAACCTGCAAAGGCAGCTTCGGCATCTCCAGACACCCTAAATTAAGTTCGAGAATTTGGAGAAAATGCTTACGTCTTTGCTCGCTGAGGAGATGTGTTTTCGTTTTGCTTCTCTACACAGTCTACAATTCCAGTTCGCCCTGAAAAGAAATAGTTATTGAGAAAGGTGTGACCGAGCTCACTCCATCTTTTTGTTCCTATTAATTGAAAACTTCCAGCAGTGAGGGGGACATTATGTTGCCCGGATTCTGTTTTTATTACAGGGACTTTGCATAGTTTGCTTTCCTTAATTCCGCAGGAAGTGGGTGCCAAGAGACAGAGGAAAAGACGCTCCCGGTGCGCTGCAGGGGCACGCGTGAGCCAGTCCTTTTTTTTGTTGTTGTTGTTTTCCTGGACTAATGACTCCGTCTGATTGCGGGTTTAGTCTATAAAATGACGGTCTCCGTCTCTCCTTGATCTCAAGAAGAGCCTGGACGGCCACTCACACTGATATCCGGAGGGGACAAAACAGAACGAAAAAGCAAAACCTCCAGCCCAGTCCCGACGGGGAGGGCCGGCGGTCGGGCCGAGGGGCTCCTATTTTACCCCACCTCGTGTCTCCCTTGCCCGGAGGGAAAGTTTTCTTCAGCAAGCATCCGGGGCGGTGCTGCCCTCGGGACTTGACTTCTCCCCATCGGAGCAGATCGCTGAGCTCGCGTACCCTGGCGAGGAGAACCGCACAAACCGGAGTTTTTGCAGTTTTTGGCCGTGTTTTAGGCGGCCCACGGCTCAGTCTCTCACTTCACTTTGGAGCAGGACCCAGGACTTCTGTCCCCTCAACACCACGGGGCCGCCGCAGGGTGGCGGGGGGGGGGATCGCTGCCCTCCTCGTACCAGCTCCTCTCCGTCGGCTCCCTCCCGGTCACCTTGGCTAGAGGCTGTGGCACCCTGGATGCCCCGCGCACTCCCACCCCGCCCCAGAATTACAGGTGTAAACCTGGCTCCCAAGAGCCCTACCGGGCTTCTGCCCCAACATGGAACATGCCGTGGGGAGTGGGCTTCTGAAAAATGACTTTAATGCAGCCTTCCTTAAGGCAGAATGACTAATTTTTATCCCCCCAAAATATTTTCTCTCTTTACCTCTTTGCTTTTCCTTTCTTTCGCAGAGAGAAAGAGAGAGGGAGGGAAGGAAGTAAAGAAAGAAAGAAGAAATAAAGTGAAAATGTTTGTGTTCTATTTGTCAGAGGAAACAAAGGCTGCACCTCTAGGCAGCTGGCTGGCGCGGAGGGTGGCCGGGCCGGGGGCAGAGCGGCTCCCGGGCTGATCCCGGCCAGCGAGCGCCGCCCCGAGGCCACCGAGCCGCCGGCTCCGCTGCCGCCCGGAGCGGCAAAACGCCCAACGGAGGGTGGCCGGCAGGCAGTCCCGGCTAGTTTCTGCCGTGGACAAGTGGTTAAATACAGCCTCAGTCAGCGAACGGGAGATAACTTTTTAATGATTATTATTTATTGCTTATGGTTTATGCTTTTTTACCGGAAATATAATGATTCAAGCTTTTTTTTTTTTTTTTTTTTTTTTTCCCAAGGGGTGGTTAAGAAATATCACAGTGCAGTTTTCCTCGAATTGTTTTGTATCTTTTGGTCTGATGGATAGCAAGAAAAAAAGAGAGAAAGAGCCCACACCGAGCTGTTTCCCATTCACATGCAGTCCAGTGAGGTGGAGAGGGAGGACAGAAGGAGGGATTAAGGCCAAATTTTTAATCTTTTTCCTACAACTGCGACAAGCACTTCCCGTTTGTAACGTGTTCTTCTTGGGAATATCTGCATGATTCCTAAGGAGCAAACACCAAATACTCCCAAAGGCTAACGCTGATGAATAGAAACTGTGAAAAACAGCTGCTATAAACACATTTTAATAAAAGTATTGCTTTGTGAGCACCTAAGTAAGTCACAAAGAATCCCGTAATGATATCTTGAGATTCAATGCCATTTCACTTAGATAATCTTTAATAGATTTTTCTATAATGTAATGGTGCATGCGTGTGTAATGGATATATACACATATATATACTGATATATGCTCACGCAAACACTTGAAATCCCTCCCATTCCAGCCTATTAATTATTTTAGCACTTATTCCCCTGACAAGCAGAAGTTATCTTATAGCTAAGACATCCATTTACTGTCTAAGAGCTCTAACTTGCCTTTGACGTCTAAATTTAAGATGTCTTTAAAACTTTAGCAACGTCCAGAAGGGGGAAAAAAAGATCTCATTGCCTTAAAATATTATTCCAGCCAAAGAATTAAAGCTAATACATCAGCTACTTTGGTTTTTTTCCCCTTTTTTTTCTTCCATTTTTTAAAATCAATTGTTATTTATTTTAAACCTGATCGTGAAATTAAATGGTACATGCAGTTTTGTTTTTCATGTTTAACTTGAGTGGTTTTCCTTATTTATGATTTCCATTTGCAGCTGGGGGAGGGCTTCATTTCCTTTTCAAGTTGCAACAGTGAAAGCTCTGTTATATATATATATTCCTTCTGTTTGATTTGTCTGAAAGAAAGAGCTTTTAGTAGAGCTTTTACTAGTATGAGTTCAAGTCTGACTACGACTTTTGGTTTACAGATAGTACTGGTATAAAAAGTACAGTAGTGTGTCCTAGTGAGGTTTTTAAATCATCTTTGCAGGAAATAGAAAATATATAACAAATTGTAAATATATTGTAGATGCGATATATGTAAGTATACTAGATTGTACATATACATCCCTGCAAACACATCATATCTACAGACCACAGGAACGTGGTACTATAGGTTCCTAATTTAATATGTAAATATAACTGAAGTTTAATAGTAAACTTAAAATGCATTCCCTCCACGAGTTTGATTTAAACTTGAACCTGCATATATTTGTGTACCAGAATGGTGAGAAAGAGAAAAACGATGATTTGTGAAGTAATATAAAAATCTATATTCATTTTAAGCTGTACCCCTTACCAAGACACGGAATCAGACGATCTTTTCTCCCCTCGGGCATTTAGAGACCTCTAACCTAACAATATAGAAGTAAAAACCCAAGCTGCACAACATTCTCGCCCAGTAGATTTTTTCCCCTTTCTATTATCTTTTAAATGTTTGTTTGTTTGTTTGTTTGTTTTGCCGGGGGGGGGGCGGGGGAGGGAAGAGTTGTTCTTTGTGGGCTTGTTTGTTTGTTTTCTTATTCTGCCCTGTCTTTCTGTTCCCCGCCCGATGTGGTGTTAACTGTTTGAAGTTCAAAAACACGGCTAAGTTTTATTGTATTTCCGGTACAATAGATTTATATACCGTCTTATCCAGTCTTTTAAAGGCTTTTCAAATGAAATGGAGTTAAGTTTTAGACAAGTTTCTGGCTCCTGCGTGCATCTCTTGAACTCGGTGAATTTGCTTCTTCAATGAACTTTTAAGCTTCACTAAACATGCACTTTCGGGACGGCTGACTTATTGCCTTCTGTTTAGTTATTTAATCCACTTGAGGACAAAACCCGATTTTACAAGGTAAGACTTTGACTTGATTTTATATATTTATCTGTGTGTGTGTGTATTTGTGACACGAAGGGACCTAACCTGATAATCTGGGGATGTTTGTTCAATTTTTGCCAAACGGGAACTTCTGTTCTTTCTGCCAAAATTCCACCGCAGAGGTTGCCTGGAGCTCAGCAAGGCCCTCGGGGCCTGCACACCTTCTATCTTCTCTCCTTGGCTTTAATTCTTTTTCCTATCACCACCAAGTCATTACTGTATAACATGTTCTTCCAGCACATGGTGCACGTCGGAGGGAGGAAAGGACAAATTAAGTTTCTCGGAGTTGTTATTTGCACCTATAAAATAGTCACAATTATGCTTTTTCTCATTTTACTTGATTTATATGTCCTTGGCTTCTTTTTTCTTTAAATGAATCACCTTATACATGCATTCAAGGGATGAGAATATGAATTAATAGCTGCATTATTATTATTATTATTATTATTATTATTATTATTATTATTATTATTATTATTATTATTATTATTATTAAACTCACGGCTTTGACTTCATTTTCTTCCCCGTGGAAAGTTTTCCAAACGTTAATGCTTTTATATTAAATAATAATATTATCATCATAGTGTTTTAATGTGAAGTCTTGATGAATCAGCTTGAAATCGAAAAGGATCGTCTAAAGTAGATTTCCAGAGGAGGTGGGGGAAGAACTTTGGGAATTTTTAGTCTTTTTTTATAGCCTCGATAATCGCTTGTTTCTCAAAGTCAATAGCATTTTACTGTTTCCTCTGGTCTATTTGTAAACTATTTGTAAAGTCCTGCAGGAGGGATCTGCAGTAGACACTGTACATAGAAAATCATTTGAATAGTTATTTCGTGAAATCGTAGGGGTTCGTCTTTGAAAAGATCCTTTTGTTGCTTTTGTTTCCTAGCAACTGTTTTCTATTATAAAAGTTCAGATTGCAGATGATGTCAAACAAAATGGCCGCCCAGGCGCCTTTCTTGGTAATTTTAGCCTTTGACCCAAGAATGAACTAGAACTGCTCTGTGAATTAGGTAGTTTCATGTTGTTGGGCTTTTAGTTTTAAACACAAGAACATCAAACTACCTGATTTACTCCAGTTATCCTCCTCGGTGTGTTGGCTGAGGGCAGCTGTGCAGGGAGGGGGCCGGCTTTATCCCCCCGCCCCGGACCGGACCGCAGCGGCACCGGGCGCGGAGCCTCCGCCCCCCGTCCCTGGCGCAGACCACGCCGCTGCCGGGCCCCAGCACCGGGCACCACCGGGCAGGGGTGCTAGTTTCTTTGTTTGAATCCCCGTTTCGGGGACCTTTTGCGAGACAGGGCAGCCACGGCCCAAATAATAAAGAGCTTACTAAGGGTCTAACTGGGCTACGATACCGCTCTTAGGCCCAAATCCCTCTCCCCAGAAGCAGGCAGTCCTGAGTTATCAAAACTCTCTGTGCAATGACGTGTGTATATGTAAAACATATACATATAAAATATGCAAAATATGCACACAGTTGTAAAGTAATTTAAGTGCTTCTTATTTTAGTAGCTGTGATTTACACCACTGTGTAAAAGGTAAAATGTGGGTTTAGGGAATGCCAAAGAACTGTGACCAGTTGATGAGTTTAATTGTCCCTATTGATAAAGTAAGTTTATTAAAGGCCCTGCTGCACATCTCCGTAGAGCTTCACTTTTGTTATTTCGCTTGCAATGCTATAGGTATCAGGACAGCGAGCAGGTCTCTATGGCTTCTCCTATTGAGGTAAAAACACACGACTTATCCGTACTTGTTGGATAGTGAATTCAATGTCATATTTGGTCCCTGAGGATCTCCTGCATCTCGCAGGAAACATGTCTACGTCTTCAGAGACGAAGTGTATAAAGCCACAGTCTGTAGGCACGCACCCGCGCACAGGCGCGTGTCAACTGCTCACTGCTGAGCGCTAAGCGCTCTGAAAGCTCATCTCTGCGCCCCAAACGCACCATCTTTAGACAAACTTAAGCTAGAAGCACGCCTGTGAAATTCACTTAATGAAAGGGCTCAGATGGTATCAGAAATGTCCACCGACACTTTTTCCACATCCTTCTTCCATATTTCAAAGTGTTGCATGTGGGAATAAGCTTATTTTATTGTATTTTATTTCAAACAAACAAACAAAAGAAAAAATCAGTGTGAATGTGAGAAAAAGGGAGTGCAGAGAGCTTTGCGTGTCAACTTGTGTGGTTGGATGAAGTCTAACCATTCCTTATGGACCCATCTACTTTCTACAGACTGGAAGCTTGTAGAGTCGTGTGTGTGTGTTACCACTCGGCTCGTGGAAGCAATTTTCCTTGCACTGGTGTTTAAAATATCCATAAAAACAAGTTTAACATGGTCCAGGCCACGGCTAAATAAGCTTGCGATTGCATGTCCCTTCGAGGTTTGAAGAATTAAACTTTGAAACGATATCCATGGTCTAAACCACCATCTGCTGCTACATTCCATGGCCGATGGATTACTTGGGAATTTAATTTTTCTCTCTCTCTCTCTCCTTTTTTTTTTTTTTTTTTTTCCCCATTCTGAGTGTTAAGACACAACGAAAACAAACAAACAAAAAATCTATAGGTTGTAGTCCGGTGTGTGCTTATTCCCGAAGCTGGTGATTGCAGTGCGCATATTGCCTATCTCTCCTATTAAACAAACAGCCACTCCAAGGGAAGGAGAGGGAAAGTCAAACAGCGTAAAATAGCTCGGAGTTTTTTACCTAATTCAGCAGCCCTGTGACTACTTCCTTGGAAACAACGTGCTACTTGTGCCCTGACTCAAAGCCCTTAAACGGAAAAGGACAATCTGGGAAAGTTAATCATAAACTATTCGGTAATAATGTCCCCACAGGCAACCACTAACCTGCCTTGTAAATGTCTGGGCTTCTGATTTTGATCTCCCTCCTACCCACGTAAATACAGGAAGCAAGGACCAGGGAGGAGAATGGGGACACAGAGCTGGGACAGATCAGAATCAGGCCCAGGGGGGTCTGCATTACTGCCTGAAATCGGGAACTGGGACTCATTTCCCCAGGCTTTGGGAAAGAACTGGGGAGAGGAGGGTGCGGTAGGCTGGTCCCGCTTGTCCTACAGGCTACCTCTGGAGCGGTTTGTTTCTCTTTTCCGAATTAGAAAGATAAGAACGACCTTACTTGGAGAATGAGCTGTGTGGGGATAGCTAAAAAAATCCTCAGCGTATTAATTGTCTCTTTTGAGACATGGTACACATTTCTGCTCTGAGAGACAACGAGTAACTGTCTTTAATGTAACAAATTTTCCCCAAATTGCTCTCCTGACAAGGTCCAGTATGGCTGATATTACCCGACTCAGGATGGGTTTTAATTATGGGCAAAAGTGTAGTGAAAAGAGCCTACCTATAAGAAACTCCACCTTTTATTTTCCTGAGGCTCAAGGTACGGATTTTACTGGAGCTCTTCCATCAGTACTTAGTTCTTGTACCTGTACTTCTACTTTCACACCCTCCTCCCCCGCCTGAGGTAGGAGTGGCAGATATCTCACCCCGATGGGCTGTTATTTCCCTTCCTTCCAGATGAATGCAGTTTGGAAGATTTTTCGGGGGGCTCCAGTTATATTGTGGTGACCCCAAAGTAGATCCCGGTCTCAGGGAAGGGGAATGAGCAGCAGTTGCACCAGCAGCTCCCGGTGTGTAAAACGTGCGGCAGCAGGAGCGAGGCAGGCGTCCAGCTATTTTATGGGGGTTGAATATTATTTCAATGAGGGAGGCGGGGGGGGGGGGGGGGGGGGGGGGGGGGGAGTTACTCTAGTAGCCAGAAAGTGTGTTCCCGAACAACAATCAAACTTTATTTTAACTTTCCTCCACCTTCCAGTTTCAAAAGCACATACGCTTTTACTTTACAGGGGATCTAAATGCTTTATTAACTGCTGAGATTACAAACCTCATTTGAAATGGTGTTTTAGCCAGAGTGTACTTTTGGGTCTTGGAAAATTTCCAACATGTGTAACTTGTTTTTGCTTCTCTTCAGACAAGGAATTCCGTCCCCCCTCTCGACGCTCCCCCAACACACACACACGCTCCCTTTACGGATTTTTAACAGACGGCAGCATTCAAACTGAGAGCCAGCACAGGAAATGGCAAAGGTAGATCTTTCTGCTTTTAGGCTACGGAAACTTATTTCACTTATTTATTTATTTATTTATTTATTTATTTATTTATTTTTCCTGAGGCTATAGGCTCTACTGTTCAAGAGAGATTTTCTTGTTGCACTCTCGTGAGTTTGTAAGGGTATGTGACTAACCTTTCTTTCTCTTAGACCCATGTAAAAGTATCATACAAAAATTATTTGCTTTATGTAGAGTTTTTATTTCTGTTTCCTGGCTCTAAAAGGTTGTTGTTGTTGTTATTATTAATATTATTATTACTGAATATTTTTATGGCCTAAAATAAACGCTCATCCCTTTGAAAGCTGGGTAACCTCTGAATCTGGTCTCCAGACTCTCTATAGCCATGAAGTTCACGCTCAGCTTTTATCCTCTCTAGCTTATCCTTATCGACTTCAAAAACCAAACTGAAAAGCATAGTGAAAGCACTGCCGAAAGTAATGCACATTACACACCGATGACACGTTGGCCTCTGATTCTTAAGATTCTGATAGAACCCACCTAGTTCTGTCCTGTCCTCAGTGCAAGAGAAAGCTGCAGCCCCCAGTCTCCTCCACCTTCTTCATATCAGTGATAAAGAGGCAAAATTATCTGGAAGAAGGTGCCAGTTCTCATAAATGAGAATAACAGTCTTTGAAAAGTGGCTAAATATGTTTCAGGCAAGAAATAAATTATCTTATATTTTATTTTTTTATTATGCCAAAACCATCAGTAAAAACTGGCAGCTGAACAGACTTCAAACCTTCATATTTTGAAAGTATTTTATATTTGGTTCTTTTCAGCGTAGAAATGGCAAGCCAAAGAACTGTTTGTTAAGGATGAATTTTTGCAGCTGTGTATTTCAAAGGGAAGCACTATTTGGAAATGATTCCTTCTCTCTACCAACAATAAAGATTATTTATAAGCAGCATCTGAGTTCAGAAGCCTTTGGCTTTCCATTGCAAGCTGACAATACTTCAAATTTTTCCTCACAGTCAAATACACTTGATGCTTATTCTGAAAGCAGGAAAAAGTTTCCACTTCAGACTTTTTTTAATAACAATTTCCAGTTCCACTTCCCTTTACTAACTCTCAACAATCGCATATCTAAAATTAAGTCAGCTAGTATGCAAAACGAGCAAAACTCATATCCTGTATCCTCTCGCTATAAAGATTGATTCCTGCAGCTGACTTTTAGGTTCTGCTCGGAGATCACTGTCTCTTTGGCTCTTCCTTCTCTAATTTTTTTTCAAACAGAAGAGCTTTTCATGAAATTTCTGATGGGCTCTATTTCGGGCTTTAAAGTATAAATGTCTACATAACACCACCACACGACTTGGTCTCTCTAAGCGGGCAGATCTGGAATAAAATGGTAACTTGCCTTAAGCCCCATTCAGAAAAGGTTGCAAAGAGATGAGCTATGAGGATATACATAAAAAATAAACTACTGAACAAACGGAAACCTCCAGAGAAGCAAACGCAAATGGATTTTGCAGATCTTCTTGTGAGGTTTCCACCCACTAGGGATCTGAAAGCCCTTAGTTTCTGCCTCACAGCCATACTCATAAGAGTCTTTTCGGTTTGAATTTATATACTACAGAAAATTATATACTCACATGCTGACACACTTCATCATTATTTATAGGAGGCGCACCAGGATTTTTTACAAGAATATATTTATTACAGGTAAGACATAGCCAATCTATCTAGCAGACAGAGAACAGGTGTTTTGCTTCAATTAACGTTCAATATTTTTATCTATACTTATTCAGCACACTGATAACAACGCGGCTGTTTATCCATCAGTTAGATAAACACTTTTCCATGAGCCAAGAGAGTTTAATCTCCACAACATACTTAAATCAGCCTTTTCCTTTTCCAAGCTCTCATAACATAACATTTTCAGAATCCCTCTGAATCTGTTGTAAAATGGGTTGGTTAAAAACAAACAAACAAACACTGATAGGCAATAGAGCCGAGAAATATGACAACATGAGCAATCAGCTCGCATTTCGTGTCTGAAAACATGGGACCTTGAAATTTAAAAACTCCCTGAGTCATAAAGAAGTTTAAGAGAAGAATAAATACAATAGAAAAGTTGGAAAAAGCAGGAATTCCGCCCATCGCTCTACACAACCGTCTTTTCTGAGATGCACACTGTAGAAAAGCAGCGGTCCTGCCCCACTCTGCTCCCTGGTATGAATTCCTCTGCTTTTACTAGTTTAAAATCAAAGGGTATGAAGTGGAGTTACTTTGGATTTACCCCCGCGAAAAGGAGAAGAAAGTTTGCAAGCCAGTGGGGAGTACTCACCTGGTCACATTTCCTCACGGAGGTCTTTGCAAGATCTTAGACCAGGGGCTGGAAAGGGCTGATCAACCAGTCCTCAAACCTCACCTTGGCTGGAGACTGGAGACTGGATCTGTTTCTCAAGAACAGAGAGAATTTTGCTCTGGCTGGGGTGCTCTTTCTACTTTGATTGATGCAAAAATTAAAAATAAATCTGACCTCCGGCATTAAGCTCCAGCTCTCTTTGCCCATCATGCTGACCCCCTTGTTTTTTGTTTTGTGTTTATTTTTCTTATTTTTCTTATTTTAATTAAAATGAACAGCTTCTTAATAGCGCCTCTGTTAGAGTATCTCTGGTTCTGAACATGGGGAAATGTGTCCTTCCATCACGCTGCAGGACATACTCATGGAAAAGTACCGCTTATAAGAATAAACGAAAATCTAACGATTTGGGTGTCAGTATTCAAGCATCTTTATGATCTTCCTATATCAGTAAAACACCTATGATAGCGATTTCATACATACATTTTGTATAGATGCGGACATCGGGAGTCATGTACGCACACGCACACACAATATCATAGACAGAGAGAGGTGTAATAAATTTTTTCCTTGGTTTCAGGTGACTATTAACACATCCCAATGTTATTATTAGCCTGCTAATACAGACTTACATCCCTATATACTTCAGGAACGATTCGCAGTCATTTATCATTGCTAGAAATCTCTTTGCCCTTCACATTAAATATCCTTCTGTTTTGGGGTGAGAAGAATAAGGACGGAGGGGTAATAGATTAAAGGAAGCGAATTGATCCAGACTGTTACAGCTGAAGTCCAGAGAAACACTTTTGTACTAATCATGCAGTGCACCTCTTCCTTAACCAACATTTACGACGCCATCAGATCATCTTGCAATAAACGCATTTGTCATAATAACTTCGTAAAACTGACCCTGCTACCCTGAATCAGATAGGATCGGAGCCGCACCGCACTATAGTCCCCTGTCAATCACTTACGTCGGTGCTGGCAAAAAAAAAAAAAAAAAAGCGAGAGCGCGAGAGAGAGAAAGAAAGGAAGGCAGGAAGGCAAGAAGGAAGGCAGGAAGGAAGGCAGGAAGGAAGGAAGAAAGGAAGAGAAAGAAAGAGAGAAAGAGAGAGAGAGAGAGAGAGAGAGAAGGAAAGAAGGAAAGAAGGAAAGAAGGAAAGAGAAAGAGAGAAAGAGAAAGAGAGAAAGAGAGAAAGAGAGAGAGAGAAAGAAAGAAAGAAAGAAGAGAGAGAGAAAGAAAGAAAGAGAGAGAGAGAGAGAGAGAGAGAGAGAGAGAGAGAAAGAAAGAAAGAAAGAAAGAAAGAAGAAAGAAAGAAAGAAAGAAGAAAGAAAGAAGAAAGAAAGAAGAAAGAAAAGAAAGAAAGATAAAAAAGTATTTTAAAAACACACGGAAAATGCGCGAGGCCGGGGGTGGGGGGTTCATACACACACACAAGGCACATGCATGCAGCTATGTGAGGTGTGTGTGTTTGTGGGGGGGGGGGGGGGGGTACCGTGACTGAAAATGCGAGGGATTCCTTTTTACCCCTTTTCTTTTCCACAGGCAATAAATTCAAGACTATAAAAATCAAAGAAAGCTAATGTAAGTTTTATTAAACTATTTAACCATCACAATTTTAAGGCATTCTGAAACAAAGCAGTATCAGTGGCACACTGTATTTTACTAGCCTTGTAAAGTTAAATGAAGGTTTACGGTTTCAGCAACATAGTAAACTATTTTAATCCAAGCAAAGCAATCCTGATATTATGACGCAAAATACGTGAACATGTACTCATATATGAAGATATTTTTTAGATAGTATATATATATAAAAGCATGCAGTCTAAGACAAGCTTTGGAGATATACAGGAGGTTGTGTCTCCTCAGCTCGATGGTCGAAGTAGTAATGTGTACATTCCAGTGACATTATAAATTTAATATTAAAACTTATTATTTTACCATGTTAACAATCCATTTTCCAATGCCAGAAGGTTAATTATTTATAACACCTTCCCCACTACTCTTACTACTTAGATCTGTTGTTTGTGGGTTTATTTTTTACTTCTCAAAAAATGCATACGTATCAGTATTTATGTATATATGCCTGTAATGGACACACACATTTATGTATGTGTATGAAATCACCGGGTGTGTGGTGGTCTGTACGTAGTCTGGCTTTTTGCTATCATACTCTGGAGCCCGAGTGGCAAAGCATAGCTTTTATCTGTTCCCCCATGATGGTTATTAAAGGCAAAGTGAGTACATCAGCATCTTTCTTTAAAAAAATAATAATAGTAAAAAAAAAAAAAAAAAAAAATCTTCCCCCCTCCCGGACCCCCCCAACCAAATGTTTCAGAAGCAAATCTGTGAAGGGATTTTAGCTATTAGCCCCAGCGCTGCCTATTTCGTGGCTTTTCTAAACTACTGACGTTTTGCAGCATTGCATAAACATAAAACAATCCATCCTTGATATGGAATGCAAGGGCGGATGACAGCGCAGCGCAGCCCCCTTGGCTTCGATTGATTTACGCCGAGACTGACGCTTTATCAGGCACACGAAAAAAGTTTGACCAATCATTTTGCTGGGAGCTCACAACACAGCAGCCCAACTGTACTTTGTTGGCTAGGAAGTTCGAGAAGGGGGTAGAGTACAAATCTAGATCTGTCCTATATATTTTTTTCCCTTCATTGAACCGTGCTTTGTATGATGTCTGAGAATGTCCATTTCTGGAACTCTTAGCAATTATTATGTCGACTCTATTATAAGTCATGAAAGTGAAGACTCGCCTTCAGCCAAATTTTCATCTGGGCAATATACAAGTTCCAGGCAAGCTGGGCATAATGAACATCTAGAATTCCCCTCTTGTAGTTTTCAGCCAAAACCTCCAGTTTTCAGCGCTTCCTGGACTCCTTTGAATCCACATTCTTCTGGTACCCTTCCTGCCGTCTACCATCCATATATTCAACATCAAAGCGTCCCATCTGATAGCAGGTATCTACGGAGCTGGCTGGATCCAGTGCCCAGAGCAGAGAACCTCCCCGGGCAGGGATCTGTTAAGGCAGAACCGCTGCTGGGCCGTCCCGGGGATGTCCATAAACAGGGAACACAGGAGTACAATTTAGAAACTTCTGCTGCAAGGGAAGGGATCGTTTCCAATCAAAGGCCCAGCTTCGAGGACAATAAAGTTTGTGAAGGAAGCGAAGACAAAGACAGAACAGATCAAAGTAAGTTATAAAAGTGAGGAAGTAAACAGTATAAAAGCTGGAGGAGGTGCAATAAAATGGGACAATGCTGCATAAAGTTTAAAATCAGGGCTTAAAGAAAACTCTCAGATTGCTGATGCCAACATAAGGGGAGAGGTGGGGAGGGGAGAGGGGTGGCATTGTCTCTGCAGATAAATAAAAATCAAAATAAAAATGAGCATCGTCTCTGAGCAAAACAGAGTCCAGAGCGGACAAAAGCTGGATCAAGTCATCCTCTTTCCTACAGAGCGCTGACTCCGGCTGCAGAGATCACTTTTGTAAGCGGGAGCAAATTTGTGCGGGGTCTGCGTGTGAAGGGGAAGGAAAGGGGGAGAAAAAAAATGTCGGGGGGAAAGGTAGGGAAAGGGGAGCGGAGGGTGGCGATCGGGGGAGAACAAGGGGGGAAAGAGCGAAAATTACGGAGGAAAAGTTCACTTGAGGGAAGTAAACAGCAGAGAGGTCTTTTCCATGCCCGTTGCTCTGATTTACCTCGGCAGATTCAGGGAGAGGCTCTCCTCATACTGTTTCGTGTTTTTTGGTGGTGGTGGCAGTGGATTTCAGTGTTTGTTTTGTTGTTGGTTTTGGTTGTTGCTTTCTTGGGGGGGGGGGTTATTTATATTTATTTGTTTGTTAAATGTTACGGTTCAGGGTATAACTATTTCACAGCCATATGATATTTCTTAGTTAAAAAAAAAAAAAAAAAAAAAAAGAGGGGAGGAGGTGCCTCCAGATTAATTAGTTCTTAATTTGTAAGGTAGCCAGATAGGGGAACAGTTAAAATTGAGCATATGCTTTTTCAGTGACCTGATTAAGTTTTTTTTGTTTGTTTGTTTGTTTTTCTGATCTAAAATATGAACAGAAAACCTTTCTCCTTGAAAGTACTTAATACTACTATAATTAATGCTATTATTATTAATAATAATATTATTATTATTAAAATTGTGCGAAAGCATTTAAGTAAAAAAGAATCAGTACCTTCACCTCACGCAGTTTCGGTTGGTACCTAGTTTCCATCTGAAAGGTAACAGTGACCGAAAGCTTATGTTGGAGGTGAGAGAGAAACTTGGCTTCACCACCACGGTAAATATTTTGCAATGAAAGCCGAAGTTGTATAAACTTCCCGGCTGGAAATGGCAGAGAAACAGCCCCTGCCGAGGGTATAGCTCTGCAGAGTGTATGCAGGACACACTGTCAGTCATTCTTTTTCCTCCTGAATTAACTTTTTTTTCTTCCTTTTTTTTTTTTTTTTTCTCTCACCAAAATGCAAGAGCAACACAGATTGCCATTGCTACCATAGAATTAAAAATATTCTCAGTATATTCTCGAGCCTCGTGATTTCCTTTCCTCTGTGTCCAGGATGCTATGGTGACATTTTTTTCCTATCATTTAACTTGCACCATGCACGCACACGCACACACACTCACACACAGGCGCACGAAAAAGAAAGTCCTGTTCTATTGTACTGGGCAGAGATCCAGAACAAACTGCGACCGTGAGGTGAATGATTTGAAAGAATTAAATATCCAGGTTCTGTGCTCAATGTCCCTGAAATTGAATATATAAAAATCTTGTCCAAGAAAATGTTATTATGTTATAAGTAAGTGCAGGGACCCACGCTAAGAGGATGCTGTGTGGTTTCTATGGCATGTGGTTAAGATGCATATTTTGTTTTAAATAATAGTTTAATTTGGGGTAATGTTGAGAGCCTGCCAGGGCTGGAAGACGGAGCTGTTTTGCAGAAAGCGCTCCCACCAATTTCCCTGACTCTTTCAATTTTTGAAAGTATTTCACAATAATGAATCTCTACACTGTATATGGCACCGGGATCTGTTAATTTATTTGCCAGATTTTAAAGAGTGCATGTGCCAGAACTTCTACTAATTCGCTTGCCAGTTTAGGCACGTATATACAGTAAGTAGGTAAAACAATACTCGCATTTAAAATATCTTATATTTTAACGATCCAAGATATAACCAAAAAAATAAAATCAAACCAAATAAATATCTGTTATGAAGCACAGCCCTCCATAGCCATTAAAGGATGGGTAGCAGGATTAACAGTATCAATTATTAACAGCTTTCTTCCTCTTTAATATTTAATTCTGCATATTAGATTAAGTCAATTACATTAAGGAAATAGCCGTGCAAATTTGTAAGAGGCAGTACTTACAATGGAAGATTAACCGGATTATTTTTAAAAAATGTTCAATATATTTAATTTTACAAAGAGGAAATGTTCTGATGGTGCACGCGTGTGTGTATGTATATATTTATATTGGTCCATTTAATTGGTGTAAAGGTTTATGGCTTCAGTCACAATTTCAGAGAACGAAAAGGAAATAAAATAGAAATACGTGGTCTGTCTAAAAACCTTCATTTTGCTTTTCCAGTATTCAGTTACCCAACGGTCCTCTAAAATTTGCATGTGATTAGTAAATGCTCTATTGTTTATCCCAAAAGGACTTCACCTTTGTGTGCAACCTTCCCATAGTACCTTCCCCAAGTACTGTGTCTGTGGGACTCATTTCTAAAATGTCGTGTCCTGTCCCGTCCCCCACACACCATCCCCCACTCCACCCCACCCCGGCTTGATTAGGCTTATTCCTGAAATGTGCTTTTTGCAAAAGATTCCCACGTAACTTCTCCCATACGCGAGAGTGATGGGCAGTCCGTTATTTATTTTTGGCTGCATTTCTCCTGTTCGAAGCAGCCCTGCAAATGTCCGTGTCTCTGCATAACACTGTCCAGATCTCCTGCAGGAGAGTGCAGCTAGCCCTCAGAGGATTTTTATGGTATCAAGACCATTTCTTGCCACATAGCAAAATAGGCAGAATTTATGAAAGTTTTTTTTTTTTTTCAGACATCATCTCAATACTCTTTGCCTGCACGCTGTGTCTGTAGGAGTGCATCTGGAGACACGTGGGAAAACACATCTGAATTATATATATAATTTTTGCATTGGTTTCTCTGAGTATAGCATATGGAACGCGCAGATAGGCATTATGCAAATCTGTAAGTGCATGTATGTGGGTGTTTTCTGGTATGGATAGACCTGGCGAAAAGTCGGCGGGAGCTCTGCTACTGGGTACAGAAGACACGTGTGCACCCAAACATACATGTGCGCAAGCATGTATGTGCAAGTGAGCATGTGTGCGCAGACATGTATGTGCACACAGACACGCGGGGAAATCTAACGCGCTGCTGCTCCTTGCCTGCAGCCCAGATCCCCACCCGCGGAGGCGCAGGGGACGGGCGCGGCAGCTTTTCGGGACTGGGGCACCCCCCACATCCACGCGGGTTTGTTCGTCCTGACCACGCTCTGCTATTATCATAGGGCCTCTGCTGCCAGCTCATATCTCACTGAGCATTTTTCACTCGGGCGTGCATATCCGTATGTATAATCTTAATATTTGATGGCATGATTAAAACCTTCTGAGAAACACTCAAGCTGCATCGTATTGATCTTGCTGCTTTTCTTTCAGCCAACCCAGCTGCCAGCTGGCTTCACGCCCGTTCCTCCAGAAAAAAGCGATGCCCTTACACGAAATACCAGACCCTGGAACTAGAGAAGGAGTTTTTATTCAATATGTACCTGACGAGGGACCGTAGACATGAAGTGGCCAGACTCCTCAACCTGAGTGAGAGACAAGTCAAAATCTGGTTTCAGAACCGAAGGATGAAAATGAAGAAAATGAACAAGGAGCAGGGCAAAGAGTGAAAACCAGAAAAGCAGCACCCCTCCCTCCTTCCCCAGCCTCTGCGGCCGCGCATCCGAACTGTAGTGCTAACATACAAATAACCCAAACAACGGGAAAACCTTCCCATTTCCCATCTCCACCTTTGCATGCGAGATGTTGCTTATTATTTTTATCTTCCTAGTGTTGTCACGTATGAGGCAACTTAGCAAAAACTGCAGCTCCTCCTTGGAGACACATGCTGGGTTTTGTTTCTATTTTCTTGTTGTCTTTCTCTATTATCTTTTATTATTATTATTATTTTATTTTTTCTTCTCCCTACAGCGTTACATAGACACAGGCTCCTGTCTGAGCAGCAGATTTCTCTGCTTGCATTTTCTCCATGGAAGGCAAGACGGCTAACAAAACTGGCCACAAACAGCTCTGGTCCAAGCTTCCACCAAACCACGCTGTCTTTCTTTATCCACGTAAGGACAAAGATTCTCTATAACACTCACAGCACCCCGGTGCACGCAGACACACAAACACACAGACATACAAACGTTGAGGTGGCCAAGGAACCAGACGATTTAATTAAACTACTGCAAGACAGACACATTCGTAAGACTTGCGTTTAATTGCACCCAACAAATCATTTTCAATTCGTCAACTTTACACTGGGCAAGTCGGTTAGTGACAGCCCAACTCCCAGCTGCGCTGGGTTTCTTTATTTCTTTTTCATTTTCTTTTTCTTTTTCCTTTTTTTTTTTCTTTCTTTTTTTTTTTCGGTTGGTTTTATTATGCGGGATTTTTATTTCAATCTTGTCATGGCAGATATGTGACTTTGACCTGGAAGTTTAGTAGGATCTTTACAGGCAAACATCTTCATCTGGTAGCTTTATATTGGGTCACTTGGAAGAGGAGAAAAGACGAGGAGGGAGACGAGAGTGCGTGTGGGGGGCACTCTCAGAGCCGCATTGTAAATTATTTAGGAGAAAAGGGGGCGGAAGAACCCCTGCCAACTTATTCCTAACTTTTAGAGGACAGGAAGAATGGGATTTTCTAGTTAAAAAACTATCTTAGTAGAGCTGTAAGAGAGGGAAAGGTTGTGTTCTTAGTGCTAGCATATTTATAATTTATTGTGAATTGACTTTTCCTAAAGCAGTAGGCTGTTGCAGAGATAAAGTGCCAACCATAGAGTGTGTGTATTTCTTCCTCCTCCTGTTTGACGAGATGCTTTTAATACTCCGGTGTTGTGTTTTTTTCGCCTGCTCCGTGGTGAAGCGAGCTCACGGCATGTTTTCCCACTGCGACCCCGTTCACTTCGGGGCCCGGAGCCTGGCCGGCCCCGGGGCCGCCACCTCCCCTGGGAGGGAGCCCCGGCCCGCGGGTGGCACCGGGGGCCGCGGCGGCTCCGCGGCTCGGCGCTCACCCACCCTTTTCCCGAAGAGAATCCAGTGTAACAAATATAGACCCTGATTGTTTACAAACGAGGTCTTATGTCATGCCGGACGGAGCTGGTTTCTCATCTGACAGATCCGCTGGAGGTTTCTCTGAACCGCCCGTGAGGGACTGGTTTTCCTTTATCTCTGTAAGACTTAACTTTGTTTTGGGAAGGGGGGGGAGGGAGAGGGTGGCGGGTGGGTTAGTACGAGTTGATTACATGGTGGCTATTGTAAAATGTGTTTGTGGTTGTGTTTCTGTGAATGTTGAAGCTCGTTTTCTGTCTCTATTGTGGCTTTTAAGTATACAAAGAGTTCTTCAGTTGTTAGTTGATGGAAAATACCGAAATAAACCTCTCTCTCTCTTTTTTTTTTTTTTTTTTTTTTTTTTTCTTCGTGTGCAAATTTGTATATTTAGCTGCCAGGAGGCTTTCTAGGAACAACGCAAGTGTAAGGTAGCTTGTTTTAATTGGGTGAATGGGTGGGGAAGAGAAGACACATCGATTTCTGTTGTATATGTTAACGAATCAGTGCAAATCTGATTTCATAAGCTACTAACTTGTGTATCCTTAGCATTAGTTTTTGAGACCATTTTTATCTGATATGAACAGAGATTGCCCTGGGAGGAAGTGATGGGAAGATCTGCGTTTTTTCAGTTTTTTGTTTTTTTTTTTTTTTAACAATTTTTTCCCCCAAGTGTTCCTGTTTTATTTTGTTTGTTTCTTCTTTTCATGATCCAGAGATAAGAAACAAGTAGCTGCACCTCGGTGCACCGAAATTTACACCAATTCAATTCCTTATAAAAGGGAAAAAAAAATCTTTCACTCGACCAGAAACCAGTGTGTCAGACAATTTCTCAGAAAGTTTGTTTTAATGCCTAAACTTTCTCTTTTGAAGCTTTCCATCATTTAGTAGCTCCTCTGGGGCTTCAGAACTTAGGGGGCTTCAAAATTTAATCATCATGTTGCCAGAGAGAGAGAAACTTAACTAAACTTCA